CTACTGCAATGTGTTGGCTGTGAAAGTCTGGGTAAGATGGATCATATTCCGATCTGCTTCCTAGAACAGGTTGCCAAGCGACTGCATTCACAAGGTTTGCTGCTCATAATAACTTTGTACATCCTGTAGTGTACGGCATTCTGAACGCACCTTGGTACACAAGCACCCACAGGATCCACGAAGATCTATAAATGCACGCAGTGCTCAGCGAAAAAAAGAAAGTAGAATACCCAATACTTAAGAAAATTATAAATCCACACTAATGCACTAACAGTGAACCCACTAGTAAATAGCGAAACTACACATAGACTGAAAAGATACACCAGCCTAACCGTACCAGACAGGCCTGAGTAAAACCCCAGTACAAGAATTAAAATGATACCTAAGCAATGCAATTTTGCGTTTTTATTATTGGAATTTCATTGACACCCAACCAAGCGAACTCCAATCAGTGACATGGGATTTATTTTTGCTTATATGAAAATCGTTTTACATAATCAGCATATACACGTATATAGCCTTCTCATCTTCCATATTTTATGTACATTATGTATTTAATACCTCTATTATTTATGTATCGGCTAATATTAATTAACAATTATTTTTTTGACATAAAAAAGGACGCGCCTGGAGACATTGCGCAGACATACAGATGAACCCAGTACAATTTTGTACAATATTTACGTATAACTCATCTAATGGTCACTTAATTGACCGAAATGGTAATTGAAATCACACTATCTCTGTAATTCAATAAAAATGTAAGATATTTAAAAGGGATCCAATTTTGCAATTCAATAATAAGAGTAAAAAAAAATAAATTTAGAGCTATCCCTGTAGCGTAGTTGATTGAGGCACTATGCCACAAGCCGGAAAGTCGTGGGTTCGATTCTCGATATCATTTCATTTTTCATTTCACCCAATCCTTCCAGCCGCACTATGGCCCTGGGGTCGACTCACCTAATATAAACGAGGACCAGGGATATTCCTGGGGAGCAAGGGGCGGCCGGCCGAAAAACTAACAACCTCACCGACAGCAATGAACTGATTGTCTAGAAAATGTGGAATCCTCGACGTCTCACAACCCTATGGGCCTCCAGGACCTGTTAAATGGGTATACAGGATGTATCAAAACTCAACGGCAAAATTTCAGGAACGGACTCCTCATAGAGAGAGAGGAAAAAAGTATATGACAACATGGGTCCGGAAATGCATAATTACAGAGCTATCCGAGCGTGTAATTTACGGAGTGCACGCCGACACGTCCTGTTTGCCGGAATAAAATGCGAGACGCCGGTTACAATTGTTACACAAATAATAATGTTGCGAATCGACTTGATGTGGGCCTGAATATGTCTAGGACGCGCAGATGATATCCTGTCCTCTCCAGTTAAGTAGCTGTAGCCATATCCGAAAGACGTGTATGACGTCTGTTATCTGAGGTTGTTAAGTGTTGTTTGCAGTCTGCTGTGAAGTGATACGTCATGTACACAAACGAAGAACTCGCGAGCATGCATTACATGTATGGTTTGGAGGATGTTAATGCGCTTGTATCAGGAACGCTACCCAATAGCCATCACGCTCTCTTGACTTAAACCCCCTGGACTTTTACCTGTGGGGACGCTTAAAGTCTGTCGTGTATTCGACTGCTGTTGCTGATGTACCAACTCTCCATGCGCGCGTTGTGGCAGCCTGTCACACAGTACGCACTACACCGGGCATTTTTGATCGTGTGAGGCACTCAATGCGAGGACGAGCGGAGGCCTCTATTCAGGCAGGAGGAAGTCACTTTGAACATTTCCTCTGATACGTGACCAGAGTGTTCCAGCTGGCGTTACAGACGTATTCAGTGTAACAGTGCAACAGTGTTGGGAGTGTCGGATTGCACTAACGTTACTAGAAGGTCGGAAAAACTCTGTAATTATGCATTTCCGGAACCATGTTGTCATACACTTTTATCTTCTCTCTATATGAGTCGGATCCTGGAGTTTTGCAGTTGAGTTGTGATCCACTCTGTATATGATTACTACCGTTCATTAAAGGGTTAATGACAAGGGAATTGTGTGTTCTCTCCGCCAAAGTGAGTTCGTACATGCTTTCAGTTTAAAGGGTTCCCTTAGCGCGGCCACATAAACGTGAAAGAATAAAGTTTGGGAAAAATGGAAGATGAGCACGGCTTTCTTACACACAATCGTGAAAGGCGCAATGCCGTGAGAACAAAAGGATGTTTACGGAAATTGTGAAACTGTGACAACAGATGACAGTTGAAAATTAAAGTCCCTGTGTAACAGGAGCCATTCATAACATTAACAATATGAATATTCACTCAGTGCAACGGAGGCTGGCATGTTATGATAGTGAAAACTGAAAGCACAATTGTGAACACAGAAAAGCGGCAACTGGAATTTGTCCTTAAAATAGAAAGTTGCACATTCCAATGTGTCTATATTTGCTTTCTTTACAAAGCCAAGATAAAGACAACGAATAACTTCATTACATTATCTTGGATAATTCCGAAGATCTGATTGTTCACTTTCTTACAAACGCATGAAATATTTAAGGTTCATATTTATGTATATTCTACATGTTTCCTCGATTTGATGCTCAGAAAGAAATAAGAGACATACACATCATCTATACCTTGGCTGATCGAAAATATTTATTAATACTGCCACGTAGTGTAGAGTGACCATAAATGGTGTTTTGGATAATTGGATTTATTGACGACTTACACGACGTAACTAAAAATAACAATAACACTATCGCTATTTCCAACCATTACAAACTCACGCTAATTCTTTTCCAGCTCCCAGTGTCTTCACTTGTCCGGTCACAGCTTCTAACGGTGTCTAGTCCTCTGCTTCCGCGCTCAAGTCCTCTCTGAACGGAGGCTCCAGTCCAGTAAATTGCTGCTGGTCCTAGCCAGCACAATCATTATTAGCTTCGGGCCCCGAAGGGACTCATGACCATCTGCTGTTCTTTCCAGACTTTATGTGTTTTGGAATGTGGTCTTATTTAAGAAGAGAGGAGGGACCTGCCTACTACTAGTCACTTCCCTTCAGCTGGGGAGTGAATCTGCTGGCTGTCACTCTCGCTTACTCGCTCACTCCTGCCTGAACTATTCTTGGTTCAGCTGTTCCCCTTTTGACCCCTTTGTAGGGCTCGAGTTCAGAACACCGTTCCCAGCAGTACATCTTTGCAGTGGCTCTCAACTTTTGTGGGACCGCGGCCCGGTAAATTCTTCTCTGTTCTGTAAGACGAGGGCCCGGCTGTTGAGAAACACTGCTCTACTGCTGCACTCGCATCCTTTGTCGTGAATAAAATTTTGGACTCCCGTCTCATAATCGTTCTCAAGTAAAATTTATTGAAGATAACTTAATAATTGAAATCCGGACTAAAAATGAAAGTACAGTTTTGCAACTTTCTTAAGTGCCTTTCAAGGTTTGTCGTTCTATCGGCATATTTCATGGATTGCATGTGACAAAAATGCAAACTTTCAAACATGAATAGTTTAACAGAGGAGAGAGAAAACGAGGAAATTTTCTCTTATACTTTCTGTCATTTTAGTCAGTATTCTTTTTTATTGTTAGTGTGGTGGGACTAAGTCCCTTGTACTGCGGCCACTTCTGCCTTATTGTAAAGGCCTCAGATGATAGGTGAGGGTGATTATGGAGCAACTGGTGGAATGAAGATTGGCAGGGGAAACCGAAGTACTCGGAGAAAGCCTACCCAAGCGCGACTTTGTCAACCACAAATCCCACTTGACCAGACCTGGGATCAAACCCGGGCCGCGATGGGAAACCAGCGACTAATCGCTTGAGCTATGGTGCGGCTTTTTACTCAGTATAATAATGGATATATAGTCCTTATGCCTTGACGAACTCTGTGCAATTATAACCTAAAAATATTGAAAATTTGAGACAGAAAAATTACGAACTAAAGCGACGATACTGATCAGACTGAAACACTTTGCCTGGTTTTTGAATGAACTGATGTACGCACAGTGATATAGATGTACAACTGCATCTACTAGGTCTGGTACCATATAAAGGTTTAACACCACTGATACAAGCCACACATCTGAATGCAATCGGGAAACATGTACATTAACATTCCCCTTCATGACGACTTAGCTCCCTGATGCCATGAATGCGCTCAACTTTACCTCTGCTCCCTCACATATCTGGAGGTACGCGGTCCGTATGCTACAAGCAGGAAGGTAGCGGTTTCGATTCCCGATGAGGTCACTGGATTTTTCAATTGACCTAATACTTCCAGCCGCACTATGGCCCTGGGGTCGACTCAGCCTTTAACAGAAACGAGTGAAAAAATCTTCCTGGGGTAAGGGGCGGTCAGAATGCAAGAATGAAAACTTCGCCGCCATCTATGAGCAGATTGTCTGAAAATGTGCGAGCCTCGACGTCTCACAAATCTCTGTCCCCCCAAGGCCTGTTATAGGGATTCGCTTAGCGGGGGGTTGAGTACAACTGGGTCCACTCGGCACGGCGGCCACTGATTGGCCTATTGTAGCCTGCCCCGGGTGATTATGATGATGGAGACTTTGGTGGAATGAGGATTGGCAGGGGAAACCGAAGTACTCGAAGAAAACCCGCCCCAGCGCCACTTTGTCCACCACACTTTGTCCACCACAAATCCCACTTGACCAAACCTCGGGATCAAATCCGGGCCTCCGCATTGAGAAACCAGCGAATAACCGCTTGAGCTATGGCGCGGCGTCTGTTATGGGGATAGTTTTACATTTTTTGCCCTCATAGGTCTACGGGACGTGATGCAGGGATGCCTGCCTTTATAGTTTACCGACCTCATTCTCTATTCCAAATCGCATTTTGAAGGTTTCCGCGCAAAAGTGTGTTGTTCTATTCCTTGTCTCCGCAACGCGGCCATGTATCAAGCCCAAGGTAGACTTGGAGACTATATTATCGTAACTGTATTTACTGGTATAAATCATAAGGTCAATCTAACTGTTTGTGTTTCTGCAGAATGAAGAACCAACAGCTGATTGGATGGACATTTGTCGCTCTGCTTTGTACTAGTTACGTGGCACCGGTTTGGTGCTACCCGGGTCTCACTCCCATACCAGAAGTACGCAAATTCGCTGAAAAACCCAACGCTCTGAAAAAGGTTGCTATTGACAACGATCTAGACGACGTTTCCACCAATCAGATATCGGTAAGTGCCTTATTATTGACCATAATAAACCCAAGATCGGTTATTCGTAATGACTAATGTGAGTTTAAAATATCATCTCTCTGAGTATACAGTATGTCCAAAGAGGAAAGTTCAATATTCTGGGAGGTCATAGTATCGGTCACTAAGCAAAAAAGTGTATATGTACATGTGTCCTATTCCGAACCGTATCCGAGATAGAGCTATTTCACTGTACAGTTCCAAAATTGTTGATAAGAAAGAGATATTACATACTGTTTCTAATACCGGTATTTATTGTTCAAGTGACAAAGTTGGTATAATTTGCGGAGTACAATACATTTTCGAAAATTCCACCGTCAACATCAATGCACTTTGCAGCTCGTGTGAGGACATGGCGTGTTGCTCGTCTGCGCAGTGTACAGTGTACTGTACAGTGAAATAACTCTATTTCGGAAACAGCTTCGAATATGACATATTGTAACGTGTTGGATTACTGAAGACGCCGTAGAGATTGTTAATTGGTTTATTCAACAACCTACAAGTAACGGCTACAATTACTTATCACACAGTTGCGGGGTTTCACACTTTATAACCCTAATCGCATTAATCTGTTTACACTGTTGCGGGGTTTCACGATTTATAACCCTATGCGCAAATCAGTTCACTCTGCCTTCAGTAGTCGAATTCTTCATATCCCACTTCTGACACCAAATTTTCACGTTATACACCCAACACGCGACAATATGTACATATTCACATTTTTGCTTAGAATGACCGATACTATGAAAGCCCAGAATACGGATCATTCGTCCTTTAGACACCCTGTATAACAAAGTAACAGTGGTGAAATAAATGTCCTGAAATTATGCAATTTTGGATCACCACAGCAACGAATTGTCAAGGATTAACCGGCCTCATGAATGTAAGTTTATGTAATTATTCGTGAACGAGAGAGCATCTATTTGATTCAGCGTATCGTGTCTATTCTGTGAATACTGACAACATCTTTATGTGAACATTTGACGTGTAGTATACTATATAAAGGATACGATTTAAGATTGACTATTCGTGAGTGTACTTCTTGGGAGATGGCAGTAACATATAGAACTGGAAAGAAAAGAATACGGCAGAAATCCAGAGAAGTTAACAGCACGAAAGCTTATACGACAATCTCCCGCTGAATTATCAACTGGTGTTACACAAATTGCTTAAAAACAGATGGAGAATGCGGTGTAATCGGTTTATGATTTTGCAGATGACATTTTCGGAATTCACTTTCAGTTGATGTATGCTTCTTATATAAATTTTATATATATATTTCCTTCACAATCTCTCCAACCGCCCGAAAGCCAGATGATGTTTGAACCGGGAAACGAGCAATTTCCCCGATTGTATTGAGATGTATAATGCAAGCAGCTTTTCCATTGTGGTGCCGTTTTAATTAGATTACCTTGTAGAGTTTCTTTTGTAGGGCACAGCTCACTGCAAAAATGTAGTTTATCTAGATAGTACTAGGCCGCCCCATAGCTCAAGCGGTTAGTCGCTGGCTTCCCACCGCGGCGGCCCGCGTTCGATCCCGGGTCTGGTCAAGTGGGATTTGTGGTGGACAAAGTGGAGCTGGGGCAGGTTTTCTCCGAGTACTTCGGTTTCCCCTGCCAATCTTCATTCCACCAATTGCTCCACATTCACCCTCACCTATCATCTGGGGCTGGTACAATAGGCCAGAATTGGCTGCAGTACAAGGGACGTAGTCCCACCCCACTAGAAATAAAAAAAATACATAGTACTAAATACGGCACTCATGGAGACGTAAAACGTTTTTTGGATATTTAACGAAACCACAAGAATGATAATTTACTTTTGTGGGTAATAAGCACAATATTGTAATTCTGTTGGAACTCACTCCTCCCCTACTCTTGTTTATGAAAATCATCACGTTTTGAAATAGTCACCGATTCTGATCAGTTACTGAGTTTTAATGGGATGATGTGTTGTGATGCCATAGATAATGACTAATTCAAGTAGGAATTAACTGTTGAAAGCCAGTATCGAATATCGCTGAAGAAAAGTAGATAAGCCTAACCCATTGAGACGTCCCTTATATTGACATGAAGCACTATATCATTTAACCCTTTAAAGACTGAATTTCCTCTAAGTAATATATAAAAACTCAGTTCGTACCTCACAGAAAACACATTACGTCTCCGTTACAAAGCCCAACCGGTTAATGCTGTTTAGGGAAACAGTCGCTGTTTATTGTAAGAACAATAAGAAATATTAAACACGTTCTATTGGCAGAATGCAGAGATTCAGTGTGTTACAGCAGGTGTGACATACAGTAATTATTGGGCTTTAAAAGGTTGTATGTAATGACGCGAATAAGAAATAAATTTAAATTGACTTGCTGTATGATTTGTCAGCAATAAATATTAAGTACACTGAAGTATGTAAAGTCGCATCGCATTTGGAAATCATTCCCTCCAAATTGGAATAGGCGTTTCAGTCTTTACATTTTTAAATTTACATTATATTTTCCATATAACTGATATTGTTTGATAAATATATTTGAGGCAAGAAAAGATAATATCTGAAGAAATCTGTATTTTGTGATGTAACGTCGTGTGGAATGTTGACAGTCAACGGACGTTGTGTTAGCCTCCACCTTCGAGGTAGAAGAATAAGCCAAGCCTGGTTGCTACTTCTTTATTCTTAAATCCTGAAGACGAAGGTGACATATTCCTCCGAAACGTCTGTTGATTTGCCAAGGACTATACGCCTTTATACTCCAGCAAATAGAAATATTTATGACGACGCCTGCTCAGGTCCTACAGTAGTATTTATAGATAATTAGAATGACGAAGCGAAGGAGGATGAGATTGGCTGGGCATGTAGCACGAATGGGGGAAAAGAGGAATGCATATAAGATATTTGTGGGAAAGCCAAATGGGAAGAGACCACTGGGAAGACAAAGGTGTATGTGGGTGAACAATATTAAAATGGATCTTAGAGAGATAGGACGGGATGGTATGGATTGGATTGATCTGGCTCAGGATAGGGACCAGTGGAGTGCCCTTTTGAACACGGTAACGAACCTTCGGGTTCCATAAAATGCTGGGAAATTCTTGAGTAGCTGCAGAATTGGCGGCTCTTCAAGAAGGGCTCAGCTCCATGAGTACTTTTTTATTGCTAGTGGGGTGGGACTAAGTCCCTTGTACTGCGGCTACTTCTGGCCTGTTGTACCAACCCCAGATGATAGGTGAGGGTGATTGTGGAGCAATTGGTGGAATGAAGATTGGCAGGGGAAACCGAAGTACTCGGAGAAAACCTGCCCCAGCTCCACTTTGTCCACCACAAATCCCTCCTGACCAGACCCGGGATGGAACCCGAGCCGCCGCGGTGGAAAGCCAGCGACTAACCGCTTGGGCTATGGCGTGGCCTTGCTCCATGTGTAAGTAAGATCTAAAACTGACATAGCGTTGTTGGGGTTTTAAGACCAGCAATTTATGAAGGTGTCTTGATTCTGTTCAGTCGCAGGAAGGTTTCTCGTGGAGTAACATGCTGGGGATGGTGATGCAACTCCTCTTCCACCCGCAGCAAGGACCAAGCAAGTCGGACGGCCTCGACACGGACCATGTAAGTAGTAGCAGGCGACCTGCTGCTCCAACCAAGCTGTTAGCCTATCAGCTGTCGGCCGGCTCACCACAGTCAGAATGTTACCTCCAACCCTTAGCAGCAATTCCCACTCTGTTACATCTGAAGTCACATCTTCTGTTTGAATAATTCCGCCTATATTGGAACCCTTCCCTGATCTGTACAAATTACTGGCCCATTGGAGGCTGTCCTGCCTTCAGAATCAGCTTAATCGAGAAATTAATGTCTTTTCTATTATACAACACATGTCCTCAAGAGTTATGCCACTGGTTCCTATCCTGAGCCAATCTGAACAAGTCCACACTCCTCACAACTTATTACTATCAAGATGATCCTTCCATAGAGGTAAAGTTGTCCCTGTGCTTAACTGATTCAGCACTAAGCCATGAAGGCGTATGGTGGAGTGAATATATGGACCCAAGTTTACTTGGCCTCGGCACTAGTTGGAGGTGAGCGATCAGCTTCACGCCTCGGCAGATTTACCTCCGGGGAAAGAGTCCCAGATACCCATTGAATAGGAGACTGGGTGGGGCCCAGCGCCGGTCTGGAAGACGTGAAGAAAATTCTTGACTCCACCGGGACTCGAAATTCGACCCCTCGGTCCTGCAGGTCGTAGCCAGTCGCTATACCAACTGCGCTATCCCGGTTCCTCGTATCGTCCATACATTTCTATATCTCCCAAGCTGTTTGTTTCGTTTCGACTTTCAGACCAAAATTTCTTATGAATACTTAACCTCTCACACATGCTACATGACCCGTCCTTAAAAGACGGTGATTAATTTGAAACGAACGGTAGGAGCACTGGTTCTAATATAAATAAGGACAAAACACTGTACATACTGTGGCGCCTTTCTTCTAGTAAATATTCGTCAAGCGCTACAAAAACGGGAAATTACTGTCACGAATTAGGGTGGTGGTTGCGTGGTTTATAAGACGGGTTTTGGATTAGATGATGGGATATATTGGCACCTTATACAGTCACAACACTCGGGACTAGAGGTAATACAGCGCTATCGCTGATCTACACACTTTGCAGTTCACCGTTACACACGCACTAGGGTTCTCAGTCTTCCCTAGTCGTCCCCTGGCAACGGATTTATAACGGTTTCACTGGTACTTCAAATCACACATGAAGTCTCCTTTGCATCGTCTAATTCCTTTCTTGTCCTTATTGTGTAGCTTCCAGTTCCGAAGAATCGACTCGACTCCATTCAATTCCAAGTTCATATCCCGGCAGGCTGGCGTCTCGAAGCTCGACCTTTCACTTCCAACTCTTCTTCTTCTTCTTCTTCTTCTTCTTCTTCTCAAGTTACCTTGTTTTACTCTTCATAACCCCTCGGCACGGGCCCCACGAAAAACACCCCGTTTTGTTGAGGAGGCGTGTTTACTGGTCCGTTACCTAGCAATGGATGTCCTATGATTGTCCGGATTATGCGATATGCGGATTAACTGTAACCGGATTAGCGAGGCTTTACTCTATAAATAATCTGCTATTAACTTCAGTAACTTTGCAGATAGTAATAAGTTTACGTGAGTATAAGGAGAACGCGGTAGAATAGTCAGTTGGACGCATTATTCTGCAAGCCGGAAGGTCGCAGTTTCGATTCCCGATTAGGTCTCTTTTTTCTTGGCACTACAGCCCCAGTGGGCCTAGGCCTAATTCCATGAACTTCTCCGTTCACTTTGGTTTTTCTAGATCTTACACATTCGGTAGGACTCCTTGGGCGGGTGATACACAAACACAGAAAAACGCACACACGCAAACTAAACATCCATGCCCTGAGTTGGATTCTAACCCACGATCCCGGCTTCCAAGCGAGCGAAGACAGTACATGCCTTAGACCGCTCGGCTACCGCGACCGGCGGATTAGGTCATTGGATTGGTTCAATTTACGTGATCCTTCCAGCCGCACTACGGCTCAGGGGTAGACTTAGCCTGTAAAAAATGAGTACCAGGAATCTTCCTGGGGGTAAAGAGCGGCCGGCGCGTAAGACTGACAACCTCACCGCCGTCTGTAAGCCGAAATTCTACAGAAAATGTTAGAGCCTCGACGTCTCACAACCCTATGGGCCTCCACGGCCAGTTACAGGGATATCTTTACCTTTTATGTGATTATAGACAAAATGAAAGACGTGATGTGTTTCAGAGCGTGGTTCCGTCTCCTTGGGCCAACTTCCTCACGGTAGGACTAAAGATTCTGACCGCCATCTTGGGAGGTGGCACTGGAGGAGGTGACGGTATCGATAAAGTAGACAACGGATCTCCAATGCAGGTGAGTTATAAGACACGCCTTTAGATGCTCACGATTCCAGTTAATGCGGGCGCGTTGTAAAGAGGGAAGTTACGCTATCAAAGGGACAGCTCATTAATTATTCAGTTCTGATGGGTTCTGATGAAAGTGTAGTATTAGTATTATACTAACATTATTGATTTCTGCATTTTATCCATTGTCCGAGACTGTAAACCAGAGTACAGTGTCAGCGCCTGTGTCCCCACCTGAGGACGGCAGCAGTTCTAGGTCCCGAAACATTTCGACTATCGGGTGACGGATAACATCTAGAAAGCTACCAATACTTACTTCGATTGTGTTTATTTTACGTGAATGAAACCAGACAGGGTGATTAACAAATGAGGTTACATGTTTCTATATGAAAATGCATTGTCTCTATTTAAGTTGTAATTCGTAAATGGCTTTTATGAATTTCATTACACAACACTGCTTCTCTCTTACTCAGACCCTACCACAATAAGCAGAGATACAATTGAGACAGTTGATATTTTGTAGCGAAACTGAAGCTGCGAGTAAAGTTTTTAATCCAGAAGTAAGTAACAACAGGAACGTCAAAATACGAGACAAGGAACTAACAAGAAACGACTTATCCCCTAAGTCGGATAAGGTTTGATGCTCGGAAGATTCATACTGTGGCCTTCTGAAATGTGATACCGTGTAGTCTGGTAGGCGAACACTAACTTTTCAGAGGAGCACACTACCTCCACTTTCAAGATCAAGTCATGGTGTCATAACTCAGATGACGTCACTCCTCTTATTTCGTACACTTGCTTACTTTCTTCGGAATCGGTATAGCGACGCGCTAATGGCTGGAAAACGAGAGGTTGGAATTCGAATCGCATTACACTCAAGAATTTTGCCATCTCCACGTCGTCCATACTGGTTCTGGGGCCTACCCAGCCTCCCATCAAACAGGTAACCCGGAGTAAAGCCGCCGGGGCGTGACGCTAATCACTCACCAACTAGTGCCGAGGTCGAGAAACATGGATCTATACATCCACTCCCCCATATGCCTTCATGGCGTGGTGCTTAATTAGTTAAGCACAGGGACAATTTTACCTTTTTTTTTCCCTTGGCACTACAGCCCCAGTGGGCCTAGGCCTACCTCCATGAACTTCTCCATTCACTTCGGTTTTTCTAGATCTTACATATTCGGTAGGACTCCTTGGGCGGGTGATCAGCTCGTCGCAAGGTCTCTACCTGTACACGAACACAGAAAAACGCACACATACAAACTAGACATTCATGCCCTGAGTGGGATACGAACCCATAATCCCGGCTTACGAGAGAGCGAAGACACTAAATGCCTTAAACCGCTCGGCTACCGTGACCGGTAACTTTACCTTTAAGTACCTGATTTATAGGTTACTTAATGATGCTTTCAGCGCAGAGTAACAGATTCGGACGGTATGATGACTGATGAAATGGAAAGTATCTGAAAGGAAGCGAATGTAAACTAAACGAAATGCAATCCTGGAATTTGACTGTGGGGGGGGGGGACCGAGGAAAACCTCACTCAGGAAAGCTGGTAGTCCGGCCGAGAATCGAATCGAGCAACTTCCGAATACAACTGCAGGCCAATATGTGTGTCATAAACACGTAAACGTACACTGTACAGCTACGCGAACAGCTTCTTGTCCGCTTCGAAGCAAAACAGGGGATATTAATAAATATTTTTATTCTTTGTTTCGCATCCTGTTTTATATGGTGTATTAAAGGAACATTCGAGAGCCGTCAACAAAACTGCTTACAAATCCGACATTAAAATAGTTACTATTCTGGTCATTTCTAATCCTAATAAACACTAATGCGCTGTCTCTTGAATCTGAGCCTGAACATTTCGTATCGTTTACAATTTTTATGGACAAAACACATCGGCCTGTAAACGTAAGGTTGAAGTTATCTCTGTAGCAGGCCGTCGAGGCTCCTACATTTTCTAGAAAATCTGCTCACAGATGGCGGTGAGGTTGTCATCCTTATGCGCCAAGCTCTCCCTGTAACAGGCCTTGGAGGCCGATAAGGTTGTGAGACGTCGAGGCTCCCATATTTTCTAGAAAATCGGCTCACAGTTGGCGGTGAGGTTGTCAGTCTCATAAGCCGGTCGCCCTTTACCCGCAGCAGGATTAGTGGTACTTATTTCTGTTAATGGCTGAGTCGACGCCAAGGCCATAATGCAGCTGGAAGAATTAGGTCAAATAAAAAATCCAATGACCTTATCGGGAATCGAAACCGCGACCATCCGGCTTGTAGCATAGTGCATCAACCAACTATTATTTTTAAAACTGTAAAACTTTAACGGTAATATTTTTACGGGGAACCGTGATATAGGACTTGACAGTTTAATAAGTAAAGTGCTTTATTGCAGGACTGGAAAACCTGGGTTTCATTTCCTTAAAAATCACAAATGTTTCTTATTGCCGCCGATTTCAGACCGGTTCTGAATTCACCCAGTCTCATACCCAAATACCGGACATCTTTCTTAAGGTTCGGCCACAGAGAGCGCTACGCTATGGTCGCTAAGTACGCTACGTACGCTGTGTACACTCTGCGACGCAGCTAACATAGGGAACATAGCGTACGTAGCGTACGGAAGTCTGTGTGGCCAGTCACATTGGCAATAAAGGCAGATATTTTTCTGTCCGTATAGCGAACATAGCGTACGTAGCGCTCTGTGTGGCCGAACCTTTAGAGGCTTAGATTGCAGGTGTGTGAATCTGACCACTAGTGTCGAAGTTAATAATGCGTGGAGCTTGAACGCCGGTCTCCCATACGTCTCCACGACATGATGACTGATCGCAGAAACAAGTTTATCTTTCACCTTATCTAAAGAAAGAGTATGGCTTGTGTAGCCGTTCAATTCTTTCATGAAGAAACTTCGAAGTGAATCAGTTCCGTTAAAACTTCTGTCTCAATTGGATCTCTGCTGCCCTCTGTTCATGTTTGCATTTGAAACATCAGCCACTAGACTGATACAGTAGAATAAAGATGTACAAAAGTAGTTCGGAGAAACATGGTGCTCACCTGTGTCTGCTATCTGACGGTCAAACGTTTAAGTGAATTAAGTATTCAAACGCCCTTTCAAGCAGACGAATGGTCTTAATATCGATGGTGAGGCGAGCTTGGTATTAAGTGGATGTAAAATATATCACGCACATATTGGCAATTAATCTATGAATGTTCCTCTTACAAAATCTTATTGAAATAGTTTGTGGGGTTGGACTGTAGATAGCAGTGTCTTCAGACCGAGTCCAACGACTGGGCGTGAACATTTGTGTTACACTACTAGACCAAGAACAGGGGTCAAGTGACTTAGAAGCAGACAAAACTCACAACTGTGAACATTTTGTCAGATGTATATTTCAATAATGTTTAAGTTAGAGGAATACACCACAAATTGTAACCAATGCATGATGACAAGTACAGACAGTACAAAAGACAACAGCAAGAAATTGGGTGTTAAACAATTAACCGATCATAAAAAATAACTGTTATTCATTTGAGGACGGAAATGATAACAAACGTTTCGACTTGTGATTAAGAAACTTGCGTGAACCTTGGACTGTGATTTAATATTTTAGACTAAGTTTTGTATAAAAGCACCAGTATAAGGATCGACACCATAAGGATATGAGGGTGCAAACTTGTCAAGGGACTGAATTTATAAGGGATACGATGTAAATAATTAGGGACACAACCCACGGTGAACGATATCAAATTGTCAAATGGAAAATAAACTCAACCGACATTACAGTGCTAGAACCGATTAAACTTTTAGAACACGCCTATTTTCACACGAAAGAAACGTGTTTCGTATGTTTTTGAAAATAGAAAACTATTTTTCCTTAAATAGTAATAACCACTTCGTTATGAAAATTGAGATGTTTTATGGTTTTTGTGAGGTAGGAAAATAATTTTTGAATATCAGGCTTCAAAATTATTAACACAGGCGGAGGACATTCAAAGTTAGTTTCCAGTGCCAAGCATTTGAGTATAACCAGAACAAGTTTCTGCCGCCTCTCACCGCTTCAACAGTACGCAGTATGTCAGAGCGTACAGAGCACCATGGTTCCCATTTAGTGCGGCTTGCTTCATAGTGGCGCTGGGGTGCAGGATCAGCTAGCGTCTGCAGATAAGCACATCGCTGTGGTTCATATGCTTTTCATTCCACTCGACATGCAACCGTAAAAAAAAAGGTAAAGCCATTCCTGTAACAGGCCGTGGAGGCCCCATAGGGTTGTGAGACGTTAAGGCTCCCAAATTTTCTAGACAATCGGCTCACAGATGACAGTGAGGTTGTCAGCCTTAAGCGCCGGCCACCCTTTATCCCCAGGAAGATTCCTGGTACTCATTTCTGTTAGAACTCAGTCGACCCCAGGGCCATAGCGAGGCTGGAAGGGTTAGGTTAACCGAAAAACCCAATGACCTCATCGAGAATCGAAACCATGACCATCCGGCCTGTAGCATAGTGGCTGAACTAACTACGCTACTTAATGGTTCAATGAAATCATATNTAATATATACATATATATATATTATTATATGTTATTACATTATATATAATGCTTAACGGTCCAATATGAGAGGAATATTTGGGAATGAATTTCTTTAAAGAATTTCCATATTCAGTATTACTGAGAAAATGTTACAAAGCCAAAGGACTCATGCTAATTTATCTCTGACTGCCTTGCTCATCTACTTTACATAAACCTTTCCTCAGTGGTTCTGAACTGTTCACACGAATCATAAAGCCAGTGTTGACCTTTCTCCTGCTTTAGCTTTCAGCCACACAGCAATATATTTGTCTGGCAATAGTACGTCACGGATACAGAATGAAGATAAATACACTTTTCTGGAGCTTCAAAAGAGCAACTCGAATTCTGGGAGCCGTGTACCTACCCAAAAACTTTTACGTACTTCATCAGTGAAAACTTGTCCCTTCTTCCTAAGGAGGAGACACGTGTAAATGGCTACGGATAAGGGTAAAATTGTAACCATGTTTTGTGCAGCGTGATATTAACACGTATGGAGAATGGAGGTAAATCCCCACTCATCCTTGAGCTCGGTGGTACATGCAGATATGGGTTCGATTTCATATTTCTACCGTTACTCCCGTAGTAAGCGTCTGAGCTACCTGAATGCAACCCAGAGGCGGTCTGGTTGCGGTGGCCTTGTCGGGAATCAAAACCCGGTCATATATCTGTCTTAAGGAGATGTGCAAATGAAACTAATGTCTACACGTTGTCTACATCAATGAGTTGCCAATCCCACACTTCATACATAATAATACCTAGGCGTCTCTGCTTGAAGCTCCAGGAAAGGTTATGTACTCCTTATAACCCACTCGCACTTTTTGTTTCTAAAACAAAGTGCTCTTACTGACATAATTTCCTTTAATTTTGATTTTATTCTTGGTTCAAAATATAAAAATTAAAGCACAGAGGCAATTCTATCTATCCCTATTCACAAATATTCTAATTTAACTGCTAATTACTTATCGGTATTTAACACTGGTCAACACATTTCTTGTTACACAGCCCTTGTTTTGAAGTTAAAGCCCTTATTTTGAAGTTAATGTTCTTTGGCAATATTATTATTTCTCCCACATCCAGAAATTCTGGAGTACAACCAGCAAACTCTTGAATGGCGCGAGATAACTATGAGCTATTTGCACTGGCTAACAGCAACCGGAAAGTTAAGGTGGCCACTCAGCTACAAGCGTCTATATTACAAATACGTGGAGCTTGATCTCACATCCTGCTGGTTTTAATGGCGTGAGGCGCAAAACAAAAGTACGAATTTCTCGGTACAAACTTGCCAACTGTTGCGATGTGCTCCCTGCAGACGTTAGGCAGCTATGCTAATGTAGTGAGGTATAGTGCTCTCCACTGAGGCATGGTTCTCTCTTTCTCTCGTTCGCCATGCACATCGGCAGGGCATCCTGGCAGCTGTCCTGTCTGCACTGCTGGGATCCAAAGATCCCGATCAGGTAGCCACGATGGCCAAACAGGCTGGCGAGGTGAGTGTCCCAACCAGCTTCCTGTCTCTCCGTCTGTATGCATACAACAGCCACACTTGGTTGCGGTCTCTCAAGATTATGCATTTGTTATTTGTTTCTGATGTTGCTACTGTGTGCGACAGAAGATTATGCAGCACTACTTATTAATCGGCAATCACAATGGCCGCGCGGTCTAAAGCATGAAATATCTTCGCTCGCTCGAACACTGGTATCATAGTTTCGAATTCCATTCAAGGCATGGATCTCTCTCTGTTTCTGTTCTGTGTTTGTGTTGTCCTGTGTAGGAAGTAGCCTTGCGACGGCCTGATCTCCCGTCCAAGGAGTCCTACCGACTGCCTAAGATTAAGAAACTGAAGTAAAACGAAGCGTTTCACGGATGCCCTGTGCTTCAACTGGGAGCAACAGGATGATAGATAGACAGATAGGTAGATAGATAGATAGATAGATAGATAGGTACTCGTAGATAGATAGATAGATTTTTTTTTAACTGGTAATGATTTTATTATCAATAACAATAATAACAATAACAGTAAATATAACAATTAACAATGGCTTATACTAAATATAATAGTGCTTTTTACAGTAAAGTTCAAACTTATGTTCTAATATCCCTGCTATTGTCAAATATTTCTTGGTTAAATACAATTCTGTCATTTTGAAGTTTTCCTAAGATATTTTTGTGCATCCAGTATTCTTGAAAGTTCTCCATTTCATTCCTGTAATGGCTTTTGTGCATTTCTATATGCATTCTATACTGTAGCCTTAATNCTTTCTGAAGAACTCTGCTCTATGCAGTTGGTTATTGAACTTCATTTTCCGCCTATTCCTTTAAGTTATGATACATCCAGTAACAGCGGAACAAAGCATTTCGATTCGAACTACCAGACCGAGAGACAATCTATTGTTTTACTAGTCAATGTAGGCCAATGTCTGAACAGTACAATGAAATCAGCCACAGCAGTCATTCTCCAATCTCTTCCTCAGTATTCATCATCATCATCATCATCATCATCATCATCATCATCATCATCATATTTTATTCCAAGTACACAGTTGAGATGGAGTTGCTAAATAAATAATAAATCAATATACTTCCATAATATGTGGATGCCTGGTAATGAGTTAAGTAGAAACTTGTCGCAATAATATAATGTCACGTGTAGGGATGTGCGTGACTTATGAGACGGGTTCTGGATTCGATCATTGTACTATTTATTGACACCTTATACACTCAACTCGGAACTACAAGTAATTACAGAGCTATTGTTGTTCTACACACGTTTCAGTTCACTGTTACACGCGCACTAGGGTTCTCAGTCTTCACTAGTCGTATAATAACAATCTCACTGTCAATTCAAATCACATATGAAGTCTTCTTTTCATAGCCTAATTCCTTTCGTGCCATTATTCTGCAACTGACAATTCCGAAGAATCGACTCAATTCAATTCCTTTTTTTTCCCAGGCACATATCCTGGCAGGCTGGCATCTCGAAACTCGACTCGACTACGACTTCTAAGCCGACCTCTTCTTTATAACCACTTTGCACGGACCATGCAGAAAATACAGCCTCTCTATTGTTGGGAAGGCGTGTTTATAGTGCCGTCACATAGCAAAAGAATTACTCAGTTGTTACTTGCGTATTCGTTGCTGCTGAATGTGTTTACCGAGTCGTTGCCTAGCAAAGAACGTCTAATCTTACTTCACTATTCCGGCTTTCGGGCCGCTTTACAAAAGTGTAAACCTAACCTCACTTGTTACCACGTCCATATATTTCGGACACAAATCCAATGTTACGAAGCTAACAGTAACATTACCATAGATGACAGAACAAAGAGACAAGACTTATTTTCATTCCTCACGAAACTGTAACTTCATTACTCTGCAACCAGCCAATTGCCAGGTCACAGATAAGGCCCCAAAAATGACATTGTACTCCGTGAGGTAAACAACATTAAAATGGGCCGTTTCATAACTGAGACGGTTAGAAGCCCTTCATCCACCACGGCGGCCCGGGTTTCATCCAAGGTCAGATAATGTGAGATTTGTCGTGGGAAAAGTACTAGGGCAGGATTTCTACGAGTACTTCCGTTTTCCATGCCAATTCTCATTCGTTAAATAAGCACCTAAAAAAAAAACTCCGTGATTTCAGTCCGCAAGAGAACTATACCAACCGAGCGACCGGCGCTTCTCGATGAAGTTTTAGGTGCTTTTTTTTTTTGTTGTTGTATAGCACCTAAAAACAAACTGAAATTAAAAAAGCTGTCGATACTAAATATAATCTGTACTTAATAACTGATGAAGTCCGATAAACTTCACGTAGAGAAGCGTTCATGTTGAAACAAAATTATTTAAATTCTATCTGTAAATTTTCCACCAGACTACAAGACATTAACCTTCCAGCAGATATTGCATTTAAATAAAATTAGCCAAGCTTCCTGTACGGACCTTGCCAGATATAAGTTACCACACAGATTCACGGTGAAGTTCTCATGGTGCTGAACGCAGGGATGTGATGTCGTGTAGTCTGACATATGAATACTTATCTACCAAACTGCACGGTGTCACTTTATAAAAATACGTTCTCTACCTAAGCCGAAAGGTCGCGGGTTCGATTCCCGATGAGGTCATTGTTTTTTTTCAATTGGCCTAATCCTTCCAGCCACATTGTGGCCCTGGAGTCGACTCAGCATTTTAACAGAAATGAGTACTAGGAATCTTCCTAGCGGCGAAGGGTGGCGGGCGCGTGTGGCTGACAACCTCACCGCCATCTGTGAGCCTAGCGTCTCGAAAATATTGGAGCCTCGACGTCTCACAACCCCATGGGCCTCCATGTCCTGTTACAGGGAGAGATTTACCTTTTTTATCTTCACTTTTAATATTCTGTAAAAAGAACCAACAATGGATGGCCGGATTATGGACTGAGCTTCAGTTCTCGGAAGTCTGAACTGATATTAAATGACGCCTCTTGGGAGCAGAATAGTTCTGACAGCACAGCTTTGCCGGTGGTGGGTTGTGGGTAGACATTCCAACCGGGCGTCTTTACACTGCTGTCCGACAGAAGTGTCAAGCTTTGAAGAATCAGGAATTCTATAACACGGGTAATGCAATAAATGAGATATATTGTAGTATAGGCTATTTTCCAATGTTAAACAAATCCCTGACGCACGTACACTATAGGCAGAAAATTTAAAAGCCCGAGAGAAGCCATGGAGAACACAAAAAATAAGAAGTTCGGGGAAGAACTAACCTTTTACTTTTCATTGGTATGACAGGGACCCCATAGAAAACAAACAAGTAATGTGGGCACACAAATGACCCATTGCCTAACAATGGTAGGGATCACACACAGACAGCAAGATAATCTCATAAACAAGACGTTCTAGGAAGAACTAATCGCTTATTTTTCTTTCATATGACACAGGTCGTATAGAAAACCAAAAATCAGGAAGGACACACACACGGCAAGGTGATTTCATAATCCCCATAAGAAACGTGTTGGGGATTACATAGATAGAAAAACAGACACGAACGGATATACAGACAGGCAGACAGACAAATAGATTACATCACAAGCCTTTTATATTTTTTCAAAATAAGGAAGGAAGGTAAAATGGTTATTAAAAATGAATAAAAAAAGAATAATAGTATAATATTTAAATAAAAATATAATGATCAGATGCATATGAATTTTGCGCCTGTAAGTATATAGACGCATTATGAAGACTGCTGTCTTCAGGGATGTGACAGTGTGTAGTTTAGTAGGCAGGTACCATGGTTTCGAAGGAAAGTGAAGACTCCGCCTTCAGAATAAAGGAGATTTCTTTGGAAAAGTGACTTCCTGAAGATGGAGGCATTATATTACTCCGAAACAATGGCACTAACCCACCAAGCTACAAAGTTTCATAACACAGAGGGCAGTAATATTCATGCTAATCGGGTGAGGGCCCCAAAATTCACACTAGGTACACTATTAACTGTTACATATATCGTCCAACTTCGGGAATATCGACAAACGAAAATGGGGAGTACCATAGAGCGTTGTATTGTATATAGTCTCAAATGTATACCACAGAATATAAAAAATTACATTCAGTGTGCATTAATTTCCTGCGACATCGTGACTCAAAGGAATATTTACCAGAAACGTGAACTATAAATCCACGTCAAGAAACAAATAAAATTGTTGTTCCCCTTTATATTAAAGCCAAATAATAATACATTCCGCAATATCAATTACGAAACGTCACCCATTACTTTCACAGATACTGTACTGTTTCCTACGAGGCACGACATTCTAAATTCGCCATCTGTGGAGAACTCTTAAAACTAACTGTGGAACACACATATACTTCCGTGACGAATTTAGTGTCGCATCACTGAATAAGGTATATAAATGCTTCTGGTTAGGTTTACAACACTCTTACGCCTCCTGCAATTGTATATCAGCTTTAAATGATTAATTTTATGAAGATATTATGTAACACTTGAGAATATAAACCAGCAGACAGCATATGGCAAATAACGTTTCCTGCAGTGTAAGAACATATCCTGTCACAACAGTAACAAGTTACAAAAATAATATAAATCATGGCTACCCGACTTCAAATAAATGAGGGAACAAGTGTTCTTGTGTCACATCATAAAGCTAGCCATATGTAGACAGCAGTACGAAACACGTGTCTCCCTCCAGTCACCAGGCTAGTAATCAAACGAATACAATCCAAGACTGCGGGTTTTAAACATTCATATGAATTAACTAAACTATAATATTAAATAAAAGATATTGACGTGGTGCCCAAAGATCGTCCACCACTCCTCCTACCGTCCCTTCCTGCGCTTCCGTCACTCTACCCCAGTTCTCTTATCATATGGCTGAATTACTGGTCGCACAGGGTTAGGAGGGGGCATCAATGAAATGGTACAGGCCCTTCCTTACCCCCACCACCCGTGACAATTCTTTCGCCGACGCAACTATAGCTAACATACAAGTATAATCTGAATAAATGAAGAGAACATCAAACACGATTTAGTATTTACAGTTTCAGTTAATGTTGCCTTATCTCCTCGTCGCTCACTTACATTACATTACTGACTTCTTGGAACTGAACCCTCTTTCAGAAACTGCCAGTTGTGCAGTTACGCAAGAACTCCCCAACATTTTATGCAACATGAAGTTTCATTACCGTGTTCAAAAGAGCCATTCACTGGTTCCTATCCTGAGTCAGAGCAATCGAGTCTACACCGCCCCATCATATCTCTCTAACATACATTTTAATATTACACACCCATCTAAGTCTTGATCTTCCTAGGAGTCTCTTTCCTCCTGGCTTTTCTACCGATATCCTATATGCATTCCTCTTATTCCAAATTCGTGTTACATGCCTTGCCCATCTCATTCCCATTGATTTGATCATTCTAATTATACAAGTAATTCTGTTTGGAATTTGCGTGGTTGAACAACACCACAGTGAGATCATGTGGGACTTGTGGACCAAGTGATACTGGTGTGGGGCTCCTACGAGTACTTCGGTTTCCCCTGCCAATTTTCATTCTATCAACTATTTCAAATTCATTAATCATCCTACCATGGGCCATATATACATATTATCTATTGACAGCGTCGTTAAGTATCTAATTAAAAATGAATAAACCGTTATGATAGCGGGTATGGAAATTGACTTTAACATTCATACCTTGGTATACTAATTGGTCATAGGGTTCCCGACACAGGACAGATTATTTATAATCCATAGATAATTGAGCATATTCGAAAGTTCTTACGGATTCGAAATTACACTCATGATTACAATGGCCGTGGCAGTCACACGTTGTCATAAAACGAATATCGAGACGAAATCGGACATGTTACCGTCTAGTCATAAATGTGTAGAGGTCAGATCTGGGTCCCAGAACATGCGTTTCTGCTTGGATATCGTCTCTAAAAAAAGTTAAAGCCGTCCCTGTAACAGGCCGTGGAGACCCATAGGTTTGTGAGACGTCGAGGCACTCGCATTTTCTAGACAATCGGCCTAGAGATGGCGGTGAGATTGTCTGCCTTACGCGCCGGCCGGCCCCCCTTTACTGTCAGGAAGATTATTGGTTCTCATTTCTGTTAGAGGCTGAGTCGACCCGAACGGAAGGATTAGGCCAATTGAAATATTTAATGACCTCATCGGGAAACGAACCTGTGACCTTCCGGTTTGTAGCACAGTGCCTCAACCAACTACGCTTCCGCGTGCCCAGAATGCCAAAGGTAAAAAGGTATAGCTATCACTGTAACAGGCCGTGGAGGCTCATAGGGTTGTGAGACGTCGAGGCTCCCACATTTTCGAGAAAGTCGGGTCACATATAGCGGTGAGGCTGTCAGCCTTAAGCGCCGGCCACTCTTTATCCCAAGGAAGATTCCTGGTACCCACTTCTATTAGAGGCTGAGTCGACCCCAGGGCTACAGTGCGGCTGGAAGGATTAGGTCAATTGAAAAATCCAATGATTTCATCGGGGTCGGAACCCGCGATCTGAAGACTGGTAGCATAGTGCCTATGGGGTTTACACCTCCGAACATCCCTACTATTCGTTACATTCTGAATCTTAAAGAAAACGCAAAGATGAAAGAAAAATCCGTGAAAATTTTTTTTTTAAATATCACAGACAAGAACGACTGTTACTGGTTGAACATTTACCCATTTAATTAATTTATTTATTTACTTGTTTGGTGTGTTTATTATACATCTATTTATTTTATTGCTAGTGGGCTAGGACTGAGTCCCTTGTACTGCGGCCACTTCTGGCCTATTGTACCAGCCCCAGATGATAGGTGAGGGTGATTGTGGAGCAATTGGTGGAACGAAGATCGGCAAGAGAAACCGAAGTACTCGGAGAAAACCTTCCCCAGCGCCACTGGGTATATGGCGCCGAATGATAGGAAAATTAGTGAATAAGGAATTGAAAGGGGTCAAAAAGGAAACTATCGTAGCTCAATTTTAGGTACTGTCTCGGAATTTGCCTGGTTTAACTGGAGTAAAACCACGAAACCTCATACATGATATCCTGTCTCCGGGTTGAGCGCATTTATCGAGATATGGCCTAAGTATTTAACAAGACGTGAACTAGTTTAGAGTTATATATGAACAAAGTGCTGTTGGAAATTAACACAAAGTTCTGATAAAATGAGGATCACGAATTAAAATTAGTTAAACCGTTAGAGGAGACGGATACAGGGTTTATACCTCAATACGGCAAAAAATCGAACCCGCGACCTTTTGGCTTGTACCATAGAGCCTCAATACTGTAAGCTACCGCGTGCCCTATATACATCAGTATCTAACTCAATATTTCACCTCACGATTATTTACGGTTCCATTTGATTCCCAGAACGGCTTCTGTTTACTTGGAGTTAGCAACGAAAATACTAAAATATGATTAATATTAGATCTAAGGGTCTCAAGGTGATGACTGTGAAGGTTACCATCTTCTGGGTTGTAACGCCATGTAGTTTGGTAATGTCCACCGACGTTAAAAAGAGGAACGTATGACCCCCATCTTCAGGGTCGAAGAGTAAGCCAAAAAGAAATTACGAATAAACAGGCGACAAGCAGATCATGATCACGGAGGCAATAAATTCCGATGAAACATCCGGTGGAGTTTGACCGTACTACATGACGTAACAACTCAAAACATAGGTACTCCGCATGGTCAGCACTAATGCGTTAGCTATTACTAAGAGCCCAATAGCAGCAGAATGTGATACATTTCACTTTGCAGTTTATCAACATCGTCGTGAATCTGTTGGACGCCCTCAAGACTTCCTTCAGTCACCGATCCATGGCGGCGCGCTCGCTGGGTAAGAAGGACTCTGTTTCTGAAGCAGCGATGGCAGGGCTGTCATTGCTCAAGGTATGGACAAAATATTCACTTGAACACGGAAATTCATGTCTCGTCAGTATTTGGAAACAAAGTGCTCAGGGTAATATTTGGACATTAAGATACCGGTATTACATAAGCAGACTCAAGGTGACTTGTCTTCCTCTACTCACACCAATTGTCGGTTAAATTCTTTCTTTCTGCACACATAATATTCCACGAGGAAAGGTAAATATTCGGGGGGGTCACAGTATCGGTCATTCTAAGCAAAAGTTTGTATATGTACGAGTAAATGTGTCATATTCGGAACGATTTCCGAGATAGAGCTAGTTCACTGTACAGACGAGCAACACGCCATGTCCTCACACGAGTTGCACCGAGATAGAGCTATGTCACTGTACAGTACACTGTACACTGTAGAGACGAGCAACACGCCATGTCCTCACACGAGTTGCACCGAGATAGAGCTATGTCACTGTACAGTACACTGTACACTGTAGAGACGAGCAACACGCCATGTCCTCACACGATTTGCAAAGTGCATTGATGTTGCCGGCGGAATTTTCAGAAATGTATTATACTAAGTAAACTGTACTAACTTTGTCACTTGAGCAATAAGTACCGGTATTATTAACAGAAGGTAATATCTTTTTCTTATCAACAGTTTTGGAAGTGTACAGTGAAATAGGTCTATCTCGGAAAACGTTCGGAACAGGACACATGTATATATACAATTTTTTGCTTTGAATAACCAAAACTATCACCTCCACAATATTGACCTTACCACGTGGGACATTCTGTATACCCACCTCCCCTCATTCTGGGTTCTCGGTTTCTTATTGATGTTGACGGAGGGGAGATGCGCAGTGTAGGTAGGTAGTAAGGAGGCGAAATTAAATCATTAACATCAGTGTTCATTTTTCCCTGACTTAAATGTAGTATTTACAATAGTGAAATCTTAAAGGGTACAACTTTGTGGGAATAAAAACACATGGGATATCGTGGAATGTGGGTGAGAATTATGATACGACGCTATGAGCAGCTCGACTTCGTGTCGTGGAATGTGGGTAAGAATTATGACACGACGCTATGATCAGCTCGACTACTTGTCGTGGAATGGTGATGACGTGGATGATGAGATCGTGGCGCAGTCGCAGTACTGTCCCGGCGTTTGGCTCGAAGGAACTAAGAAAATCATGATAACATTTGTCGGAATTGTTGGTGTTCCGGCCAAGATTCGAACCCAGTACCTCCTACACAAATCTAGAGAATTGCCGCTATAACAGCCACCTAGGTATTAAACAATTGTTTTAACAACCTCTAATTTTAATTATCAGGCAAAGAGACGAGACCTGTTAGGAAATCTGTATTTGACGCCGAATGTTTCATGCTGCAGGGTTACGTTCGGTCGCTGAAGACAAATGACGACAACTGCATGCTGAAATACGTTTGTGAGGCGAACAGAGAATGCTCGGCCGACACGCATGGCGCCATCTACTGTCAACTGGGAACGTAAGTATCTAAGTGAACCATAATTACTTCGCTGTTACTGCTTTTCTTTTTTTGTTAAAGCAATGGGTTCATAAATATACTGTCATGTAATATGTGTGACTATAGACGGGGTTTGAATAGCTGAATAGATTTACTGACCACTTACATGTCGTAACTGAAAATAACACTATCGCTATTTCCATACTTTACAGTTCACTAAAGCACACTCTAGTGTCCTCAGTCTGTTACTAGACGTTTCCTGGTAACGGCTATAATAATTGCTGTTCCTCTCTTCACAAATTCCCGTACAGAACTGACAACTAACCTTCTCCGTTTCGATACGGACCATGTAGAAAACACAGCTCTTCCATTGTTGTAGTCCAATTGTTGCATTATTTAGAATCTGCTATCTAGCAACGGACGTTTTTTCGTTGTTACTTCCGCGGGATCGTGTTTACCGAGCCGAAATGGCCCTGGTATATCCGCCAATCTCGCGGTCGTTGCATAGCAACGGCTCTACACGCTAGAATATTTATCCAACCACAGAACAAACTGAATCTAAATTACTCGTTGAACATACCGCTCCTGAACCATGCTATCACGTGTTGCCAGTTACGAGACAAAAACGCAAGTACAGTTATTTAATTCTTATCTCCAGGTACGCAGCAAGTTTCGTGCTAGAGAGGTCAACTTCGTCGCCATTCGACGCGTTTTACGAAGCAGGACGTCGTGGGCGTAGCGGAGAAGATTGTCGGCAAGTGTACTTATCCTGCAACGAAATCTAAACCGTGTCTTCCATCACATCACTATTGTCACCATCATCATTGCAGTCATCATAAATGTATCGATATTAAAATAATAGGTAAAATTATTACATTATTCTGCCTAAATAAAATTTATTTCTCGACAGGATTGTTAGAAATGGAAAGGAAACAGGGCTGATAAATTGGCAGAATATGTCGTATTATATCTACAACAGTTAAGAAAGACTATTGTTGAATTTCAAAATGCATGAACTCTAAACTAGAAAAAATAAGAACCAGTAAATGCACCAGAAATTTTAAAAGTGATGCAAAAAAATATAAAATCATCAGAAATATTGCTATTCAAATCCGACAGTAGGGTTTGAAACTGAATTGTGCTTAATAAATTACTCAATACGCACCTACAGAAATTCTGTTAAACTTATTATAATTGTGTCCTTCTTCACAGTACACAAGCACACAGCAAAATTTTGATGTTTTATATTACTGTACACAACAGACGAATCACACACACACACACTTCACGCTATTTATTTATAACTTAATAATTTATTAGGTTTTAGATACTGCAGTTGCTCTTATAGAAGTTTCATCTCTTTTGTGGTTATCCACATTCCATTATTAGACGCTTATACCATTGTTGCTAATAATGCACTGTTATATTATAATGTATTAGATGTACAGGTTAATGGCGAGTAAAAACGATGACAATATTCTATATTGATTTATTTGTAAGAAAAGAAATTGTTTTGGGGGAGGTTGTAGCTACGGGATAAACGGATTTTACAAATGGAATGGTTAAAAAAGACTTCAAACACTTTAATGAATTCGGAAAAACTTTCAAAACTTATAAAGTTCGACCTGGAGTGCTCCCCTCCGTAAGGATGTTTCCAGCTCAGGTATCCACAAGATTGCTGGCTTGTGGGGGGTAGTGGGTCAGCCTATAATCTGCCAGTAAGAGTTCAGATATCTTCAATTAACATTCCAGTATGAGTAGAATTATATTCAACATGTTCACAATTTAAGCGTAATTCTTAGAAACGACGATAATTTCTGATTTCAAAATACCCCTTCGAAAATAAAGAAGCAGCCCAAACATATTCGCTCTTCAAAAGACTGTACACTCTTGTCACACCAGCGGTGTTGCTTCACCACAGAGAGATCACTGGGACGCAGAAATGCCAACATTACTGAAAGTACAGTACTTACACGTGACGTAACGTTGGCAACTGGCTGGCTCACTCTTAGTCTTAAGAATATTTCATTTTCAGTTATAAAATAAGTAAGAATTACTATTAAGTTAAGAAATTTTATGGCGGGCATGTACTTGACTGATATAAACCTAATTGTTATCGTGTAATACAGCGAGAAAGAGATGTGTGTTTGTTTCTAAAGAATATGAGAAGGGGGAATAGATAATATTATAATAAGCAGGGAACTGTGTAAGTATGAATGCATGACAATGAATGCAACTGAAGTGCGTGGATGCTTGAAAACTTTTTAATGAAATAATATGTGATTTCTTTGTAAAACTGCATAGATTTATATTAATAAATATTTTCCACTTAATTTGACTTCAATGATGTTCCCGCGCTTAAACCTTGTTTTCTCGACACGTTGGGGTCTTTCCATCGATTCATAAGATTTATCAACGGAGACAAAAAATAATTCTGTTTGAACTTCAATGACCAATCTGACCAATCCAACGTGAATTCCAATTTCCAGGAACTGCATTATAAAAAGTTACATATAAATTGTGTAAAACATTAGCTAATTGTTTCTGACCACATTTATATAGGGCGCAGGGCCTACATTTGACAATCAAGTTCCTTCCGTCAAATGTGACACTTTTTTAAGTTTTCCACCTCGTCACCACCTGCCTTACATGTTTCGGCTCACCACGGAGCCATCATCAGAGGCNCATTTGCATATTTCTTTCATATCCCATAGTCAAACCTCGCTACTACTGATTAATGGGGAGATAGGTCATCAGGATTAATGAAACAAAATATAGCCCTAAAAACAACTTATGAAATAAATAAATGGAAAACTTAATAATATATACGACGTTAATTAAAATAAATAAAAAAGTCACTGCAATAATTCCTCCCTGTGTCAAAAGCTGAAATCCAGAGTCTCCTTCATCCGGCTCAAGCCAATCTTGGATATTCTCTTCCGAGGTTTCAGTCTCTTCAACTGCCCTCAACACAGCCTGAAAGTCCGCTTGCTCTAATCACTGACAAATGGAAGTAAAACAGCTGTAATGGATGTAATAGGCTTTCGATGTATATCACTAGGTAGCAGCACAATCCAACTGTATGACACTTAAGGTAGGAGACACGCATGCGTATGTTCAGAGGCTGGTTTCAGTAGTCAGAATGGCGACCGTACTTGAGTGTACTAACGAAGAGCAGTGTGTGTGTGAGCAAAGGGTTTACTGCAAAGAATGTTCATAAAGAAATCTTTCCTATTTACGGTGGAAAGTGTATGCCATGTAAAGCTGTTCAAAACTTGGCCGAGAAATTCTCTCAAGGACGTTCGAAAGTCGCAGATGATGCCCGACCAGGTGCGGACGTGGCTGAAACAGCAGTCAAAAGACTTCTATGCTGCGGGTTTTGACGCACTGGTAAAGCGATGGGGCAGTTGTATTATTGATCAAAGAGGATAAGTCGAGAAATAAATTTATTCCTAAATTCTAATATCACATTTTTTATATCACTTTTAGAGCCAATTTACTGATTCTCCCTCCTCATCACGGATTTGTAAGAGTTCAGTTAGGTCCAATTACCAGTTCAAACCCCGTCTATAATCAGTCCATCACATGCCATCATCATCATCCTCCCGTAACGTCGTTCTCCCAAGTTTCTCTCACTTTTTCTCCCGCCAAAATCCTAGTGACATGACAAGCCGTTCATAGTCTCCTAGATATGAATATCCTAATAATTCTGAGAGACCTGCACAAATGCAGAAGTTCCTCATCACGTAATATATTAAATTTTCCATTCCTTTTTTTTTTTCAACCACGATAATTTTCCTGCTCATCTTGCGTTCAACTGGGATAACTACCCTGGCCACTGAGCTTCATTCGAAGTTGTGACTATGAATGCCCTATCTTTTGGGATATAACGCCGTGTAGTAGGGTAGAAGTCCACCGACATTTCTAAGGAACTCATTCTTCCTATCTTCAGAGCTCATTCTGCTTGTTTCTGACTTCTTGTCTGACTCTTCGACTCTGAATATCGAGGAAGTATGTTCTTCCGAAACGTCGGTAGACTTCTGCCCTGAAGATAGTACTCTTAATATCCTTCGAAAAAACTGAGTTGACCGTTTTATTGCCTGACACACGTCAGGTTTCCAGCAACCAGGAAGAGCCGACATGGTTCTTGGGCAAAGCAATGTTCAGGTCCAAGTGACGCGGTTGCTAGGCGCGACTTCGGTTAACGTGGAAGTGAGTACAGTTGTGTTCCAAGTCTCGGCGAATTCTGTTCAACAGTGAAGAGCTGAAATGTGAGTACTCTCGCTGTGTCATTGTCAACTTGCAATTATCAGATCCGTCAAATATACAAGGTTAAGGGCATCCTTAACCACGATCATAAGAATCATGGTCACTGATTAAAGTTTTATCCTGTTCCGGTTACAAAAACTAAATACAACTGTTTCTTCCAATTTTCTGTCGGATATCCCTGGCACCTTTCGGTTTACAGTGATGTAGCATTTCGGGTTTCGATTTTCAATTCTTCTTCTTAATGTTCCAGCCATTTATATGTTAGATTTTATTTTCCATTGTCGTGTTAGTGATAAGGTGGCGTCTGAAATTCAATTGAGTTTTATTTTGAAGTTTCTCCCAAGGTCTGCGTCCTTGTGAGCGCAGACTAACAAACATCTCTGATAAAAATATATCTGAATGGCTTCTATATATGATGTCACAGTATGTACGTATGTTATTGAGTGACGCATCGAAGTCGTTGCGCGGTTAACGCAATCTGTTAGACACTGAGAGAACTACGTGCTGTGTTGGAGCAGGAACGCACATACACATTAAACAGGTTTTTAAGAACAACATAAGATTAACATCCAACACCATATGTTGCACTAAATATTCTTACCACAAGAGTTCCGAACTAGAATCTGTACGTTCTATTGCAAAACTCGAGGCATGGCAAAGAGTTGTACTCGTATAAATAAAAATTTGAAGAAATCCTGCAATGCCGAGTAAAGGTAAGTCGACTATTTACAGATAATATGTAAAGCGTAAAGCTATCCTTGTAACATGTCGTGAAGATCCATAGATTTGTGAGACGTCGAGACTTCCACATTTTCTAGACAATCGGCTCACAGATGGCTGTGAGGCTGTCAGCCTTACGCGCCGGCCGCCATGTACTCCAAGAAATATTTCCGGTACTCATTTTTGTTAGAGGCTGAGTCGACTCCAGGGTCATAGTGCGGCTGGCCGCACGGCCACTGCAATTGATGTGTATGATAACAGAACCTGAAAACAAACATCCGGCTTCCCTTGAAGACACTTCTGTCTGGCTGATGCATGAAATCTTTATTTAGGTTTCCAGTTGTTAGCAATAGCAAACGAAGCATCGCAGTTAGGCATGTGAAATTTGAAGTTCAGGTACATCGTACAGTAGGGTAAAGTTGTCCCTGTGCCCATCTCATTGAGCACTACGCCATGAAGAAGTATGGAGGACTGGATATATAGATCCACACTTTCTTGACCTCGGTACTTGTTGGAGGTGAGTGGTCAGCTACACACTCAGGGGAAAGAACCCCCGGTACCCGCTGGATAGGAGGCTTGGTGGACCTCAGAGCCGGTCTGGACGACGTGGAAAAGAGACAATTCGTGACCCCACCGGGAATGGAACTCTGAACCCTCGGTCTTCCCGCTCGTAGCCAATCGCTATACCGACTGAGCTACCCGGCTCCTAGATCATATAGAGTAAACCCTCGCTAATCCGGAGTAACTGGGGGAGGGGAGAGGTCATCCGTTTTAAACAATAATTCGAAAAGTTTGGGCACAAATAAATGGAAAATTTAATGACACAAGGACTATTGATGAAAATAAATAACAAAATATCACTTTAGATCCTTTATTTAAAAATTATAAAAAGACAATACATTTATTCATCGAGAGAAGACTCAGAAGTTGTACTTGTTTTTGAACGTAATAATGCAGATTTGAAGAAATTGTCCAAATTTTGTCTGATCAGGCAAGTGACTCGTCTGCCTCATTAAATATCATATGTCTTTTAAAGTAAGTATTCAGTTGTGAACAGCATTTTTCATATTTCGATCAGGATTATCCGACAAAATCAAAACTTCGTAATTTTAGTCCGTAAGGGAACTATACCGACCGAGCGACCGCCGCTTTTCGGCGAAGTTTAGTGCCAACTTTTGAGGATAGAGGATGTCGCGTGGTCAGCGCAACGAATTCCCAAGACCGGTAATTTCGGTTTTCTAGACCGGAGCCGCTATTTCCTTGAAATAGCTCCTCAATTGTCATCACGAGGCTGAGTGGATCCCGTTCCAGTTGATTGAGGCACTGTGTTACAAGCCGGAAGGTCGCGGGTTCAAGCCCGGATGAGGTCATTAGATTTTTTCCTTCCAGCCGCACTATGGCCCAGGGGTCGACTCAGCCTCTAACAGAAATGAGTATCAGGAATATTCTTGGGGGTAAAGGGCGGCCCGCTTGTAGGGCTGACAACCTTTCCGCCATGTATGAGCCGATTGTCTAGAAAATGTGGGAACCCCAACATCTCACAACCCTATGGGCCTCCACGGCATGTTACAGGGATAACTTTACTTACCGCATTATCCGACATCCAGATTAACTACAACCGGATTAGCAAAGGTTTACTATACGTGTCCACAAATTCTTTATTAAATAATATTTCTGAGCCAACAATGAATAACATGGCCAAGGTGGAAATCTTTGAAGATATGCGCAACATACCCAATTTTCCACGAACAAAATAAATACATGATATTTAATATTCTTACCGTGTTCAGGAAATCTATTTGTACTAAAAGTATCCAGAATCCAAATATACGGGGACGAGTCAGTAAATAGGTCACAAATTGAAGTAAAGCAGCTGTAATAGACGTCATAAGTTTCCTATGTGTATCACTAGGTAGCAGCACAGTCCAGCTTCATGATAGTCTACATATTAGACATACATGAGCATGTTCAGAGGCTGGTTTCAGTAGTCCAAATGCCGACCGTGCTTGAGGAGTATACTACCAAAGGGAGGTGTTCTGTTGTGCGTTCTTATGGGAAATAAGACTCAATGCAAAGGGTATTTATAAAGAAACGTTTCCGGTTGACGGTAAGGAGTGTTTGTCGTGTGAAGCGATTTACAACTGGGTCGAGAAATTCTCTCAAGGATGTCCCTATTTTTTATTGCTAGTGGCGTGGGACTACATCCCTTGTACCGCGGCAACTTCTGGCCTATTGTACCAGCCCCAGATGATAGGTGAGGGTGATTGTGGAGCAATTGGTGGAATGAAGATTGGCAGGGGAAACCGAAGTACTCAGAGAAAACCTGCTCCGGCGCCTCTTTGTCCACCATAAATCCCACTTGACCAGACAAGGGATCGAACCAGGGCCGCAGCGGTGGGAAGCCAGCGACTAATCACTTGAACTATGGCGCGGCCTAGGACGTCCCTAAGTCGCCCAACCAGGTGCGGAAGTGGCTCAGACAACAGCCAAAAAGACTTCTATGCTGCGGGTTTTCGCGCATTGGTAAAGCGACGGGACAAGTGTATCAACGTTGGTGGAGGATATGTCGAGAAATAAATGTTTCCCCCCCCCCCAAGTTTCGAGGGTCACGTGTTTTACGTTTTATAATCATCTGTGATCTGTTTACTGAATTTTTCCCTTGTACGAGAAACGCATGCGCAAGCTCTGTGTTTTCCGGTAGCCATTATCTTTCCGAATTGTTAATAGTTAATCTTTCCAGACGAAGGAAACAGAATTTACAGACTCATCATCAGAGTAACACCAGTGTCAGCAGCAGCAGCAGCAGCAGAATGACCATATCCAGTTTACTTGGGAGGGACGTCACTCCTGCACCTCCCGTTAGCCGGTTCGAGTTCAGTGGCCCCTCGCTGGCTGCAGATCCTGTACTCGTCCATTACGTGGATGGAGGAGCATACGCTCACGGCCATGGCGGGTAAATATCACAGCGAAGCGGCTCCGTAGTCTAGAGGTAACGTTCCCACCTCATGACTCGTAGCACGCGGGTTCAAATACCCGGCCGAGGTCGTCGAATTTTTAAGGGCGGAAAAATTCAGGGAACAAGTCCTCCGGGAGGGACTTGTCCGTGGGTCCCGTGTCGTAGCTTTACGGCACGTAAAAGAACCTCATATATCCAAAGGAGCTCACTGAGCCAAATTACGGACGTTTCCGTCCAACAGCAGTCTCTAATACATCTGGTAGATGGAGGAAGCATTATAGATACCTCTCAGCTAGTAGAGCCGGTCTCGCTGGCTGGGCGGGACTGATGGTAAGAACCAGTACCGGTAGGATATAGAGACTGGTAGAATATCATAGAGGGAAGCACAATGGACCAAGACAGGTCTAAGTGCATGGGGAAACCCACCCTCTCCAATAACTAACTAAATATCACAGCGGGGAACGTCGGGTAACGTTCAGAGAGCTGTGCCACGTCGACCACTATTTCTTACTGTTAATATGTAGACAACAAAGCAGCGATTGGTACGTTACCTGATGAACTGGAAAGGATTTGGGTTAAAGCAGATATGCCATAATCGAGCAGATATTCTGGAATTTACTTGGACTCACTGAGGAAAACCACGGATATTTTCAGCCGAAGTATATTGTGTCACGGTCCAGATTCCGAAATGCAAGGTGTCAAGCCCCTCAGAATCATGTTCTTCAGGTTCTTAGCAGCCTTGGAGGGCAGGTCAATACTTATCTGACTGTATATTTTCAGATTGGCGTGAAGGCAATCCTATTTACTTCACAGGACTGTAGAGGTGACTAATGATAGACCATAACGGATCTGTTATTTTATTGCTGAAGCCTCTTGAAATGAATAGTACTTTGTATTTTAATCTTGCAGATTTCAGACAGAGATGTGGAACCTGAAGGAAAGAGACGAGTTGGGATATATATGCATATATGGGAGGATAATGTCACGTGTAGTGGTGACTAAGACGCTGGTTCGGATTGGTGAATCGGTTTATTGGATCTTCACTAGTCTTAACTACAATTAGTTCTTACACTCTTAAGATTATGTAACTATAGCACATGCAACGTCACACACTAAGTCTTCTAATTCTTCCTCTGTTAACAATGCTGTTCCCTTGGAACTTCGGAACTCAAGTGAAGTCAATTCCCATTCCCGTAGTCTCCTATAATCTCTCGGCACGGACCACGAACAGAAAACACAGTTCTATTGTTGCATGGATCAGACAACACAGAAAACTCATGCCACATGTCAGACTGCGAGTTCATTGGTCCGTTACCAGCACTGGAAATGGCGCGGATGGCATAGAAAAGAGAAAACACAGTTCTATTGTTGCGTAGCGCAGACCGCACAGGAAACAAGTCACGTGATGATTCTATCGCCATTCCATTGGCGTGCTGACGGTTGCCTAGCAACGAGCTATAAACACTCGTCCTTTTGTTGCCTGCGCGTATCGCGGGGTGTTTATCGAGCCGTTGCCTGCCAATGCGTTGACATGTCATAATATTAAAAAAAAAAAATCTGAAAAATAGGACATAGGGATATGTCAGCACCTTTCATTTTATGTCTCTTACGGGCGTCTGTGAACTTGGTAACGAATTTTAGGGCTGTGTAATAAAAAAGGATAATTTCTGCAATCGGAAGACTCTCAGGTTCTCATTTGAATTTGTAAAGTCAAGACAATTACTTCTAAATGTAACTGTATGTTTCTATCAGAAAATATGTTCAGCGTCTGTGTGGAAGCGTATAAGGAAATTTTGAACTCATTAAGGTTGGAATATTGTATTCCAGTGTCATGCTGTGTTAAAAATATAATTACCCGAGTTCCTTCTGCACAACTACAATATACATATAATGGCTTATTACATACTGTGGCGTATAGACGCGTTCCTAAGGAGTGACTCTGCGAACAGCGACCGTTTCTGGGCAACGGCTCGTTAAAAACATTCCCGTTGCTAGGCAGCAGATTCTTAATAATGAAACAGTTGAACCACAAGAATGAAAATGGGGTGTTTCTACGTGGTCCGTGCCGAGATGTTATAAGTAGGAAACCAAATTAGTTGAGAGTTGAGTTCTGCACTGGAGTCTGTGAAGAGAGGACCTGAGTGCGTCAAGCTGAAGAATCTCTATTGTTAGAATCCGTTGCCAGGAAACGGCTGGTGAAGACACAGGATGCTGGATAAAGGCCTAGCGAGTGCTGTGGTGATTTGTGAATTGTGGAGATTACCGGCGGCGCTGTAATTACTTGTAGTTTCTAGTCATGTGTATAAGTGTGCAATAAATCCATTCGCCAATCCAAATCTCGGACTAGAGTCACACCCCGAAAAGTGACGAGGGAGGCCCTGCCAGTAGCTACGCTACCGCTGGTATAGCTCTCAGGGTCCTTGGCATACTCAAACCCCCTTAACACGATAAGGTGGAGACACCAAAGAGGGGGGTGGAGCTATACCTCCGTTATTCCATGTGTCTTCATGGCATAGTGCTTAATTAATTAAGCACAGGAACAACCTTGGGAGGCACGCAGTAGCGTAATTGGTTGAGGCACTTTGCCATAAGTCGAAAGGTCGCGGGTATAATTCCCGATGAGGCCACTGGATTTTTCAATTGACCTAATACTTCCAGCCGCACTATGGTCCTGGGGTCGATTCAGCCTCTAATAGAAATGAGTACCAGGAATCCTCTTGGGAGTAAAGGGCGGCCGGCGCAGCTGGCCTCACCGCCATCTATGAGCCATTTGTCTAGAAAATGTGGGAGCCTCGACGTCTGACAACCCTATGGGCCTCCACGGCCTGCTACAGGGATAGCTTTATCTTTTTACCGTTACCAGGAAAAACCTTACCTTTACCTTCGCGTTAAAATAAACAGCCTGGATTACTTAAAATGCGTGCTAAAACAGGGTTAAAGAAGTAGGTATCGGATAGGATTGGGATATAAGTTCTTGTAGAGGACATGTACTAGGTAAGACAGTAAGACAGTGAAGGACGCATATTACGTGGACTTAGTAGTTAAAATTCTAGGATCTCAAGTAGTCGGAATTTTGAAGGTTGAGTGACTCGTTTCATGTGGATCCGTAAGTGTACATGCTATTGCTGACACGTATGTAGGCGTGATCCTTCCATATAGTATTGTGAAGAGCGTTTGTTCTTCATAAATATGCCGTATCTTATACTGTGGTTATTTCAGTTTCAGTATGCATTCTGTCTACCAACGATCCGGAGAGGGTTCAGACAGTGGGTATCTGTGATACGGTTTTAATCTGCAATGCAAATTGAAGAAAATGATGTGCAGATTTACTCTGGTTCTGTTTGTGAAATTACACGTTGTGGGAGTGGGTATGTACGAGTATGTGTCTTACCTCGTGTTCTGTATGTCGTGTAGTGATTTGTCTGGATCTAGAAATGGTATAGTTTAACTGAAATACAAATTGTAGTAACTGGTGTTGTAGGCCGGAATAGTGGAGTCAGAGGAGACTTCCAGTGCTAGGAAACGGCTTGGTAAACACGTTCCGCTGCAACTAATATGCAAGCAACAATAGAGGCATTGTTGGAAACGATATTTTCTATTAGGTCCATGCAAAGTGACTATAAAAGGAGGCGATCTCGTGTGGAGGTGGGGTCACTTTGACTTTGAACCAAGGCAGTAGTCGTAGGAGGCGACGAAAAGGGAGGTCTCAGATCTAAGAGAGTAAAATATTGTCGCGAGTTCCTAGGGACTTGGACCGAAAAAGACTGGGCTGGCAAGGGCCTGCAGCATATATAAAGACAGACCCGTCCTCTCGCCAGAGAGGGCGCCGCACAAAAAGAAGACCGTAATTGTCAAACAGTAATAAACTTGGCCATGAGCCCCAGATGGGGCTCGACACCAAGACTTACTGACTGCCTGACCGTCTGTCGCAATGTGACTTTGACTTCGACTTGGAGGCGGGGTCGAATACTTCCACCGTAGCCCTGTGAGTAGTAGGAGGCGACGAAAATGGAAGTCTGGAATCTGAGACAGTAACATATGGTCAGGGGTCCCTCTGGACTTGGACCTGATAATGACTGCGCTGGCGAGGACCTGCAGAAATTGTAAGCGACAGGCCCGTCCTCTCGTCACAGAGAGCGCCTCAAATCAACAAATCCGCAACTGCCTGACAGTAATAAAAATCTGGTCCTAAGGCCCAGATGTGTGCTTTATTCCAAGAGAGACTGGCCGACTGACCAGTCGGTCTTAACATAAGACTCACACTCATACTCAGTGCAGTTCAGCTCTGCGAGGGAGGCTGAGATGGTATGGCGGTCCAGTTCAGTTGAGGCAGTTCTGAATGAGAGCGGGCGAAGGAAGGACCTGAGCGTAGGAAGCTGAAGAATCTCTACCGTTAGAAGACGTTGCCAGGGAACGGCTGGTGAAGACAGCATACTGGAATAAGCTTAGCGGGTGTTGTGAATTGCGGAGAATAGCGATAGCTCTGTAATTACTTGTAGTTACGAGTTGAGTGTATAAGTGCAATAAATACAATAATTCAATCCAAACCCCGTCTATAGTCACACACCCCTAATACGTGACAGTATAAAATACAATAAACATATTGTAGTTGTGCAGACAGGACTTCCATAATTATAGATCAAGGGTAATAATAATAATAACAATAATTTTTCTACTGCCTGAATTCCAGAGGTAAAGGAAGCTGGAAGGGTGGACACTCAGCGATGTCGGCCTTAACACTCCTGGCGTTCCTGTTCTTCATAAACCTTCTTCAGGTAAGACATTAAAATGAAACTGATCTTAACTAGTTTCTTGGGTGGTTACACTCAGTGGATGTGGGCAATGTTGTCGACGTTTCGGAAGGCCCGAAGTGATTTTCAGTGTACATATACGTTTAAAAGAGTTCTATTTTCGGGGATACAACATGCATAGTAGGCTGAAAATCAACCGACGTTTCGGAGGGATTGGTTCACTCTGTTTCTGAGGGACAGCCAATGGGAGCGAATTTGTTTCGGTGTAAGTTCCCTTTTAGTCTAAATAATCCTGTGCTTTTCCGCATGGGGATTTCCCTGCTTTCTGCATCTTTTTCCTTGTTTCGCATAATTTAGATAATTAAGATGGAGCTTTCAATTCCAACATCGAAATCCTCCAGCGCTTTCAATCCAAGACTCTATGTTCCATTCTGAACGCACCTTGGTACATAAACAGCAACAGGGTCCATGAAGATCTATAAATAAACACAGTTATCAGTTAAATAAAAAAGTTGGATACCAAACACTTCAAGAAAATCAGAAAACCACACTAATGTACTAGCAGTGAACTTGCTAGACAATAGCGAATCTACACACAGACTGAAAAGTTACATCGTCCTAACTCTACCAGACAGACCTGAGTAAAACCCCAATACAAGAATTAAAATGATATCTAAGTGAACAAAAAAGATAGTATATTAGTTACGTCACTGGGCAGAACTCATCCACGAGTCAGTACTCATTGAAGATACATATTTATTGCAGATTCTTCAGATGATGCATAATAAATATGCGAAAAAAGATGGAGACAATAGATTCCTCCGAAACGTCGCGCTTGACTTTCATCGGACTACAAGCCAATCAGAAGTCAGAACTCATCTTCATGAATATAAACTACTACTGCTGCTACATTCGGTGGCCGCGCGGTCTAAGGTAGGCCGCACATCGGCATGCGTCAAGACATGTAACAGACAAGACTTGATGTCTGCGACATGACGCAAAGAAAGGAGCACAGTTGAAACGAACGAGATTATGAAAACAGCCGCACACCGGTCTGAGTCATGATGCTGACGAATCAGGAATGAAGCAAGACTGCGTCTTTTGTCCCATGTCTTGATGCTTGTCTTGACGCAGTTGGTGTGTGGCCGCCCTAAGGCATAAAACGACTTCCCCGCCCAAAGACTGAGATCGTAGGTTCGAATCCCACTCAAGGCATGAATGTTTGTGTGCGTTTATTCTGTGTTTGTATTGTTCTGTGTGTAGGGAGCGGTCTTGTGACGGGCTGATCACTCGCCCAAGGAGTCCTACCGTCTGCGTAAAAAGGTTTACGAAACTGAAGAAGAGGCCAGGGCCCAACAACTCCAGTTAAACCAGAAAAATTCCGAGACAGTACCTAAAATTGAGCTACGATAGTTTCCTTCTTGACCCCTTTCAATTCCTTATTCACTAATTTTCCTATCATTCGGCGCCATATATCCAGGCCTATTAACGGTGTAGTTAGATGAATAATAGGGGCTGCGCCATAGCTCAAGCGTTTAGTCGCTGGCTTCCCACTGCGGCGGTCCGGGTTCGATACCGCGTCTGGTCAAGTGGGATTTGTGGTGGACAAAGTGGCGCTGGGGAAGGTTTTCTCCGAGTACTTCGGTTCCCCTGCCAATCTTCATTCCACCAATTGCTCCACAATCACCCTCACCTATCATCTGGGGCTGGTACAATAGGCCAAATGTGGCCGCAGTACAAGGGACTTAGTACCACCCCACTAGCAATAAAAAAAGTTTTAAAAAGTGTTGTCAAAGTGCCCCTCAAATTTGGGAACTTTAACTTCATCTTCGAATTTAGAATCTTAGACATCCTTTTATAAACGTCTGCATTATGTCCGCGCACCACAAGAATTTTTCAGACTTAACTGAGCTAGCCTGAAATTAAATTAATCTAGTCTCGAAGTCAAGTATAGTGGATATATAATTCCACTTCCCCATACGTCTTCATGGCTTGGTGCTTGGTTACTTAAGCAGAGGGACAAATTTACCTTTTTACATTTCACCTTAAAAGTTACTTCACTCAATCCAGCCCAACACACTGAGCTTCCCGTTTTGAAATTCCACACCCTCATTATACTTAACAAATTCCACTCTTTCATCTAGGCGCCCAGAGTCCGAAAATCTTTATTCTGTTGCGTCACTGACACGTAAGAAATCGTCCAAACCTTGAATCTCTGGGTCCTTAGAATGTGCGATTGTTCAAGGTACTCAGATACATTCGAGCGTCTTTTGAAATATAGCGACAACAACTGAATTCCCTGGAGCCCCAAGTTTCATATCTTATAGAGTCAAGTGACCATACACGTCAGTGCACATTGTGACGATTTTCTGTTGTGTAACTACAAACGAGGTATGGATTGGTAATTAGATTTATTGAACACTTATGCATACAAATCTTAACTACAAGTACCTATAGCGTTATTGCTAGTTCACACTCTGCAATTCACCACAGTACACGCTTAAACCTTCTCAGCCCGCTGCGTCTTCCTCAGTCGTTATCTGGTAACGGCTTCCAACGGCGAACGTTCCCTTATTCTGAGATCGCGAACTGCCCCGTGCCTCAGCTACCAGCTTCTCACAGCAACAGCTAACAAGGACCGAGCCCCAACGGTCCTCTAACTAACTGACTCACTCATCAACCCCCTCCATTCCACTGACCATCCTGCTTTTAACATATCGGCACGGACTGCGTAGAAAACACTGTTTTTCTATTGTCTTCGCGTTTTTGGGATGCCCATGGGATGGTTACTGAGACAATACATAGCAACGGCCGTTGTTTACAGAACCATTACTTAGCAATGGTTATTGCATAGCCGTTCATTTCGCGGTCGTTGCGTGTCAGTGGGTCTACATGCCATAATACAACTTTACTGCGGACAGAGCTGCCTTCCTTCCTCCACGAAGAAAAAGTTTTTTTTTTTATATTCAGATACTTGAGAAATACGCGAATCACACATCTAAGGCAATGCCAGTGAACACTTCTACATAAGCAACCAAAAGCAAAGTCCATCTGCTCTAGGAATTAGGATACGTCACACCTTGGGATGTCAGATTTACAGAAGAATAGTCCTATGTAAATACGTTTAAATTTCCCAGAAGTATATGAATATTGGAAGTGTGCTGAAAATATAATCTAGTGAGTTTCTAATGATGATGTAACGATCTGCGTCATTGATTGACGATGTCGCACCCTCATTCTTTTAGTAGATTGAGTACACATTGAACCAAAGACTTTCAGTAGGAAATTTAATTGCTTTTCATTTAAAGTACGTGAAGTGAAGAAGTTAACTTCAGAGACAACTGTCATTACACAGTGCCTTCCATGTTACACAATATGCAGTGTGATTCTATATTACTGTCGGGATTTCCATGGCATATTACTTTCAAAGCAGAAATAAAAGAATGAAACTACTTACGGAATATGAAAATGTAACTCAAAACAATTTTTATCGCCTATAGAATCAATATGGCAGAATGCTAAAGAACTTCAGCCTGCGCGCCTTTCCTGGCACTTAAGGGGTCCAAGCTACCATTCTCCTGAAATTGCTTTAACCAAGGTCGGATAGCATTCTCTGAAGGTGGATCTCTTCTACGAGTATATTGAGTTCTGTAATGTCGATGCGTCTTTATAACGGACTATTTTCGAAGAAGCAAAGTAGGCAGATTGCTTTCTCTTGAACAGTCGCCATTTTGAACTATGACGTTATATTTTCTCCCAGACATCAATGCTACGCATACAGCGTTGCAAAATAAAAGTTTTTGAGTTACATTTTCATATTACGTAAGCAGTATTTTAAAATTATAGGCCATAGAAACACCGACAATAAATTAGGTTCACTCTTTATAACACAGTTGTTTCTTGGCGAACAGTGCAATGTAATGTTATAATGGGCTGCCTCACAGGAGTACAGGAACTATTTCTGAAATATCTGAGACTCTCAAAACGGTTGACGACAGCGATAGGATCATATGCATTAAAATTTTTAAATAACATTTACAACAGAATGTCAGGATGGTAAGGGCCCGTCTTCCATTCTAACAGTTGTACACGCTACAAGGAAACTAGTGAAACAGTGTAACCGAACAGACTGAAAACATCTCAAAGAAAAACAAACATATCAACACCGCACATATGCTTCAGAATAATACAGACACATAAAATCCCCACCATTCTGAGAAAGAGCTGGCAGTCAATGCCCGAACGTAACTAAATATATTTAAATATATTTTTAACAGTAACTTGCAGTGTCAAGATATTTATAAAATACATTACATTTTGAACAATTTGAATTCTGTCAGTAGAAGTTTCCATTATAAGCAAAACACATGATTTATTCGGGACAGTTTTGAAATATAATAACATTATTTGAGATTCAAATGTTATGTGTTGCAATAATACATTTTCCTAGTTCAAACTCGTAAATAATAAGTTACTAGTAGAACTATATTTTACCTTATTTTGTACCATCAACTATTTCGGTATTTAATATTTAGTAAAAGTTAACTGCATTACTGGTTTCGTGCTGTGCTAGGAATCATCAAGTGATACGTTCTAAAAAGTTAGCCAATTTTAGTGTGATTTATCTGCCATATTCAAAACGTGGACCAAATTCTCTACAGCGAATCTTTTGTGCGGACACATAGCAAAATTGTAAGAGCCCAGAATGTGGAAGAAGGTGAAAAAATATAAATGGGAAGAGGAAACTGAAGTACGAGGATTGATATATATTATTGCATGGTGTGTACGTGCCTAAAAAGTGCCTTATTAAATAAATATTAAATACCAAAAGAGTTGTGCTGGTGGTCCGAAATAAGGTAAAATACAGTTTTACTAGTAACTTAAAATATTAGGCAACAGAAGGAAAAATAATTATGGCCGTACATAAAAGCTGATATAGTGTTCTCTTGTCTCCAGACTTGCATACAAGAAAGCATGCCGCCAACAGGGACAGCCATGCTCATGATGGTAGCAGCAAACAGGAGTCGCCCACTGGTTCGCCCAAAGAGAGAAATACATCCGAACCAAGAAATGGACATAGATGCCCTACCAGGCCTGGGCGTATATTGGGATACGAACATCCTAATCCGACAGAAAGGGGAACCTGGGGCTAATGGCTCAACTTTGGAGCAGAAGATGAAGACCACTCGGCCCGCGAGTCAAGTTGATGGGCAAGCCACCAGCAACATAACACCTGACCACGAAGCAGAAATTCCTGCAGACTACGGCGATCATCAGGACAGGACCCTCGTTTCGAAAGGCCTTCTGCCGCAATCAAATGAACGTTTAGAAACAGGCGATGATTTAACTGCACGTGCAAATTCTTTCTTGCACGAACTGCATACTTCTGAAAAGGAATCAAGACAACAGGAAGATGCATCACTAGGCAATGAAGGCTATTCGACTGGTGGCACAGAATTAACAAGAAGCCCTAATCCAAGTTATACCAAATATCACCATTATGACGAATTCAGGCCCGTCTGGGACTATTACCAAGATGATGGGTATGACAGCACGCCTTCTGCAGTCTCTTCGCTAGAAGTGGGGCTCGGTAACGAGGGATCTGTAAGCGATTATGAACTAAATCTGTACCCGTTCATGAACTTCGCAAACTACGTTTGGAGCATTGTGGCGTCTGCTTCTAAGCGAATTCTATCGAGCGTGACGGTGGCCCAATGTTACGAGTTGGTTGTCTGTGAAGCACATCGTGTTGGGAGAGCCTGGGGAGAATCGGGAATGTTGTTGGCATCCGGTCTCAGGTGAGATAATAACAGGCTTCAATAACAATCTAATAAACATTTAATTACAATTTATTATAACTTAATAATTGACTACGTAAATGAATTTAGCGTCAGCCTTCTCGAAAACTCAATTGTCTCTGCTGATATAGAAATTCCAGGAATTGTATGAAACCAGAAGATTCATTACCGTGTTCACAATAGACCGCCACTACCTATTACCATATCAGATGAATGTAGTCCGCATCTTCCAATTCAATTTATTTAATATATGTTTTATTATTATTATTCCATCTAAACCTAGGTATTCCAAGTGGCATCTTCCCTTCAAGTTTACAGGCCAACATTCTGTTCGCATTTCTCGTGTCTCCGATGCGTCCTGCACGCGAAACCTATATTCTAGAAGCTCTCTGGCCTCGTTTAACAAGAGATGAATGTGTTTTTTTTTTTGACAAAACCTTTAGGTAATTCCCGCCTGACAGATCTGCTCATTCGGTTTGTCTGTAATTTGTTTAGCCCTCTTGTCAATAACTTAAACTACACATGATATAACAACCGGATACTGAATAATTAACTTAAAAAATGTGAAAAGAAACTGTCGTGGCCCACTTTATAAGAATAAGATCCCTGAATTTGGCACCAGGGAATGAGTAAAACCATAAAAGAGCCATTCAGAAGATTTTCCGAGTTGACTCATTCGCTACTGGTCAATAGAAAGATTCGACCTCCAAATTACGAACTGAAATTGGAACCGATCTAAGTTACGTTTGGTGGCAGTGTGTCCTCCACATATCATACAAAGATTACTTTTACACCGGGCTAGGAATGAGGTTGGTCTAGAAGTAAACGCAGAAAAAAAACTAAGTATATGTTGCTGTCTCGTCACCAGAATGCAGGGTTAAATGACGTAAATGCAGCTAACAGATCCCACTGAAAATGTGTCACAGTTCAAATATTTTGGAACGGCAGTAACAAGGCAAATATTTGAATCTGGAGGATCCGGATATTATTCGATAACATTAAGTCCAGAAGCTTTTGTCTTCTCGTCTGCTGTCTAATTTTGCCTGTGGTTCTCTATGGGCGTGAAACTTGGACTAACATAGACTGAGGTGTTTGAGAACACGGTGTTGAGGAGAATATTTGGACCGAAGAGAGATGAAGTGACAGGAGGTTGGAGAAAACTGCACAATGAGGAGCTTCATAACTTGTACTCTTCTCCAAGTATAATTAGAATGATGTAGTCAAGGAGGATGAGATTGGCTGGGCATGTAGCAGGAGTGGGGGATAAGGGGAATACATATAGGATATTGGTGGGAAAGCGTGAAGGAAGAGGCTACTAGGAAGACCAAGATGTAGGTGGGTGGGTAAAAGTTAAAATAGATTTTCGAGAGATAGGATGGAGTTGTATGGACTGGATTGACCTGGCACAGGATAGGAACCAGTGGAGGTCTCTTGTGAACACGGAAATGAACCTTCGGGTTCCATAAAATGTTGGAAAGTTTTTGAGTAGCTACACAACTGGCGGCTTCTCAAGAAGGGCTCAGCTCCGAGAAGTAAGTCAGTTGAGAGTCAGTCTCGTGGGCAATGTGTGGACAAACTCCGTACCTGTTGTGAGGAAGCGATAGTAAGCTAAGGCAGCCCACCCAAACCAATTCTCACGTACAGTAGTACTTGAGTACTGCGGTTACGTTGCTCAACAGAATGGTACAACAGAACATGGATTTAATGCAACAACACCATTAAAACTCACGAGGGATAAAGTATCATTTGGGACTACGACTGAATCACACCAAGAATATCCAAATATGGTGAAGAATATACTATCTTCTGGGGCGTCAAGCCACGTAATTACGTATATGTTGAAATTCCTCCAAGACGTCGGTGAATTTCTATCGGAGAGCACGATGTTTCGTCCCAGAACATAGTAGTCTTCATAGTTACCACTATGAGAAATTAAAATTCAAGTAAGAAGTTACTTAAAGTGGTTCATTTTTTACAGCGTACAAATGCATGGGCAGCGAATTTCTAACAAGACAATATTAAGTTTTTAAAAGTTTTTGCATCACTGCATGACATTTTATTTCTTTATAATAAAACGGTTGAGATCATATAAAAACAATAAGTCAATCAGTTTATTATTATATCAGTCACAGGACTTGTTTCTGTCTATTTGACCATACAGATAGAAATATGTAGCGTGACATAATAAACTGACTGACTTACTGTTTTCAGTTGGTCTCAATCGTTTTATTATACAATAATAGAATGTTGTGCGACGCTATAAAAACTTTAATATCATATACACAACAGAATGCATAACACACAAATAAGGCAACCTAAATTTAGGATGACTCATTCAGAGGTAGCCCACAATGATTATCCACAAACAATGTAATAACTTACCCATGAAAACGAAACTTGGCAATCCTTTAACTTTCAAACACTGATCCGGCGTCTGCCAGTCTAGTTCGTGCCATTTCTCCATTTACTGCAAATACCCTCCAGCCCTGATTGTTGAAAACTTCTCCAACACGAAAAATTGTGTCGGCCTGAGTCTCCAGGAGGAACAAAATTAATTCCGTCCTCTTTTTTAACCCAATCATCTCCACATCTACCGAGGTATGTACTGACCAAGTTTCGTTGCCATCGGTAAAGTACTGCGTAATTTATAATAAATGATTGCGGGTCCCCTTCAAGTGAATCACAGTGTATACTTTGAATAACTACCTCTTTCAGCGAGATTATGATGTGGATTTACGGGGAAGACGGTGAACACAGGAGACTGATCACGGAAGCTGCGACGACCGGAAGAAAAAGACAGAGCTGCTGGGTGCAAATGCAACAATGCGAAGACAAAAGTCGAGATAGATCATTGTTGCCCATCATGGCGACGGTGCTGGAAAGACTTTTTCTAACACATCAAGACACTTCTGAAGTTTCCAATGACATATGATTAAAATCGGCCTCTCCTGTCCTGAATATATAGTGCGTATAAAATGTCTGCGATACATTTCGAAGTTTTATCTGCTTGTTCGTTTCTACAGATTAATTCATAGGAAACATGGATCCTTTTCTAATAATTCACACAACTTCATGTATGTACACAACATTCATAGAAACTACCTAATATGAGTATGAACGAAGTGTTGGGCGACAAAAATTTAAGTCTGGCTTAGTTAATTACTTTTATTGCCGTACAGAGCACTCAAATCAAAGGAACAAAATGGTGTCAAAGGAAGAAACAGCAAGATGTGTGTTATGCTTGTTAGGATGTCATTCTGCCATTGTTGTGAAGTGGGTTTCACTCCGTTTCTTTTTTTTTGAAAAGTAATCCCAACTCCACAGAGTATGAACATCTTTGTGTGTGAAAAGGCAAGAACAGTGACCACCCATACTCTTGGATCTCCTCTGTGGCGTGTGATGGTGGCCTGCATACATCTGTCCCCATTGCAATTAACCTGTTTTCATAACTTCTCATATTATGGGAAAAGGAGTAAAGGAAGGATAAGGGGAAAACAGGAAGCCGGAATAGGCTATATACGATGGATGGATCGTAGCTTATTTAATGACCCACTATCAACATCAGTGGTTAAATAGCATCAAATGCAATGAAGGGGCCGTTATGTTCAGTGAACTAAGGGCTGGGAAGTTTTAAACAGTAGTGAAGTATTTTCAGGCCTAGAGGACTGAGGAAAACCATGGAACCTTCATTCAGGACAGTCTGTGTCTCGGCAGAGATCAAACCCGGACATCTTCCGAACATAATCCAAAAGTGCAAACACTTCAGCCAATTTGTTCGGTAGGAGGGGAGAACAAGAAGCAGCAGCCTTTATAAAGAAGTCGGCTGGTGCTAGTCATGCGCCAACGTTTTCCTGCTAACCACAAAATATACTTCGGTGTCAAGAGAGAATATAAAATTCAAGTGGATATCGCGGCAAAATACTTTCATATCTCTTTAAACTTTCACAAGTCTGTATTTTTCTTGTTGTTCAGGCCGTGGAACCCGTGATCTGAAGCCCCCCGAATGAATAAGGAATGCAACTACCATACAAATCTAAATAACCATTTAAAGAATGAATTCCTTCAGAACTTTATATAAAAATTAAGTTCGTACCGCACAGGAAACACATTACGTCTACGCTACAACATCCCAGCTGTTAATGCTGTTTAGAGAAAAACTCGCTGTTTACTGTGACAACCATACGAACCACACCAACACACTCTGTGGACAAAATGCAGAGTTTTAGTACGTTAAATTATGCGTTATATATATAACAACTGGGCTTTAAAGGGTTACAGTACAATACTGTTATTTATGACTGCATCGTGTATGTCTGATTTGTAGGAGTGAAATATTTAAATAAAGGTACTGTTGGAATCAAGCTGGTACTACACATAATGCTGCATCTTAGCAACGCGTTGCAATTGGTATCAGAATTTATTTTCTGTTGTTTGCTGCCCATCATGCAACAACATGAAGATTTAAAATTAAATCATTTTAAAACAGACGCAATGGATGTTATTAAAAAAGATAAACAACGGAAAACATTTGAACACATTAGAAAAATACCAGGAGAGATTAAATATAAACGACACATACAGCAATACCTAAATTCTTATGCTGCATCTTAGCAACGCGTTGCAATTGGTATCAGAATTTATTTTCTGTTGTTTGCTGCCCATCATGCAACAACATGAAGATTTAAAATTAAATCATTTTAAAACAGACGCAATGGATGTTATTAAAAAAGATAAACAACGGAAAACATTTGAACACATTAGAAAAATACCAGGAGAGATTAAATATAAACGACACATACAGCAATACCTAAATTCCGATAATTGAAACACTACTCCAGACAGCAGCACACACGCTCCAGTCCGCTGTATAAAACAGAACCAGTCCCAAAACACATTACATAACATCCACACTACACACTAGACAGACAACAGACACACCGAAACATAAGTACATATTTAGCATTAACAACATATAATTTAACGGTATTCGATGAAAAGAAAACACTAACACAATTTTTCATTACACATTACAGACACAATGAATGTGGTATTGAAGGAGGAACACTGACATTGTTTGCAAGCACTCTAAATATGAAAACATGGATCGCGAAAGGTACAGCAGTTNAAGGTACAGCAGTTGCCCCCCCCCCAACGAATTTCAACGCTCCTCATGATGGCTGAGTAGGACGAAACATGTTTTGCAGTGATGAATTTTAAGAAGGATTTAATTTTAAATCTGAATATTATTGCATGGTGGACGGCAAAGAAAACGGAAAATAGTTGATACCACACACATACAGGCATATGCCGGCGCCATAGCTCAAGCCCGGGCCTGGCCAAGTGGGATTTGTGGTGGACAAAGTGGCGCTGGGGAGGATTTTCTCCGAGTACTTCGGTTTTCCCTGCCAATCTTCATTCCACCAAATTCTCCACCATCATAATCAGCCGGTGCAGGTACAATAGGCCAATCAGTGACCGCCGTGCCGAGTGGACCCAGTTGGACTCCACCACCCACTAAGCAAATTAATATACAGGAATATGATTAAGTCCATCGACTCTGAGAAGGAGAGTACATGCAACACACGCTGCAGCGTCCACCGACAAATGCATGCCAGAAGTACGTCAGATCACCAGCTGCTGATGACGTACCCAAATTGCATAGTAAGGTAAAAACGTAAAGCTATCCCTGTAACAGGCAGTGAAGGCCCATGATGTTATGAGACGTTGAGGATCCCACATCTTCTCTAGATAATCGAGTCACAGATGGCGGTAATGTTGTCAGCCTTAAGCTTCGGCCGCCTTTCAGCCCCAGGAAGAATCCTGGTACTCATTTCTGTTACAGGCCGGGTCGACCCCACGGCCATAGTGCGACTGAAAGGATTAGATAAATTGAAAAAAAAGAAATCCACCTCATCGGGACTCGAACCCGCGACCTTTCGGCTTGTAGCACAAGTCCTCAACCAACTACGCTACAGCGTGCCCCCACATTGCATAGTAGATGGAGTACATAAACCGTCTTATAGGCTTAATTCGGAGTCACCAAGGCAAGCGGTCGCGCTAGCGACGGATTGGTTTTGATTAAATAAAAGCGTCCCTTCCGTTTCCGCTCAGGACTCAGTTATCCAAGAGACTGTCCACCAGCTAAGGAACCATACCTGATTTAATGATCCATTCGCGGTTTCGCCTAAACGCGGCTTGCACTGAGACAAGCATGGTTTAATCTGTGAGACAAGCTTAATTTAGCCTCCTCTCCCCAATATATAGCCCTAAATGTCTGCTCGTTGCCTCCAACCTGGTTATCGAGCATTTCCATCACAAATCAATACATTTCTTTCAATTCGCATAGTGGGGGGTGGAGTCCAGCTGGGTTCACTCGGCAAGGCGGCCACTGATTGGCCTATTGTACTTGCACCGGGTGAGTATGATGATGGAGAATTTGGTGGAATGAAGATTGGCAGGGGAAACTGATGTACTCGGAGAAAACCCGCCCCAGCGCAACTTTGTCCACCACAAATCCCACTTGGCCAGACCCGGGCCGCCGCGGTGGGAAGCCAGCGACTAACAGCTTGAGCTATGGCGGGGTCAATTCATACATACTGTAACGTTTTTGATAAACGCGTTTCCAGGCAACAGCAATGTAAACAAGGTCCAACATGCAACAATAGAGGAATCTGTGCTTTCTGTAGATCCGACCGACGTGCCAATAGACCGGTTGGATAGCGATCATGTGATATGTGTTTACTACAGGTCCATGTCCGTTCCACGGCTACGTAAAGAGAGCCGTGAGCTTTTAAGTTCAGAGCGAATTGGAACTAGAAGTTCATAAGAGTACAAGAAGTCGGCCGGTTAGGTCTGAACGTGTGATTAGAATTTATTTATGTGTAATATTTGGAGCGTGTAATTAAGTGAGACAAGCGGCTGTAACTCTGTCGGTATAGTTCGCTTGCGGACTAAAACCACGGGGTTCTTTTAATTAAGTGAGAGTGTTATACTCGTAGTTCCTGTGTGTTAAATCCTTGATGACGAGTGAAGATAGACTGAAGAGATTAGTGTGGAGTGATACTAAATTGTGTAAAGCAGCACTAATGTAACAATTAATTGTAGTTATGGCTTGCAGGCTATTAATAAATCCAATTACCGAACCCCTCTTTAGTCGCTGTGTAACACGGGACAATATTGTCACGTGTCCGGGGTTCCGTGACTAATAATAATGGGTTCTGCATTGGATGATGGGATTTATTGACGCCTTCTGTCCAATTTCTCTTAAAATTACAATCAATTATAACAGCTCACAATCAATGTCTCTCTTAGACTCGCTCCATTCCTTGCCGGACTATGAGTGACTGACTTGTTTCTGATTTACGAATCGATCACCTCTTCAGCTTCCGTTGCTCGCTGGTTGACACTCCACAGCTGAACACTCACCTGTCAAGCAATGGACTAATCCGCTTTTCAGGCTTCATGTCACGTGTTTATGGTTGTAACCACTTTTGATAATATAATGCGTATGAATATAGTATTGTGGCATGGAGACGCGTTGCTAGCCAACGATGGCGAGATAAGCAAATGTACAACAGCCGTTACTGAGTAATGGCTTCTTAAACAGCATCTCTGCACGGCACCAACTGAAAAGAGCAATAGAGGAACGATGTTTCGTGTGCGATTCATGCTCAGATGTTATGTCAGTGGAGTTGTTGGCAGCAGGGCCAGCGACTGGTGAAAAGGAGACTTCATGTGTATCTCAGTGATATTGTAGTAATTATTTGTAGTTACGTTCTGCAAGTGTCCGATAAGCCGGTCACAGTAGCCACGTGGTCTATAGCATGCACTGTCCTCGCTCGCTCGGACGCTGGGGTCGTGGGTTCGAGTTCCTCTCAAGGCATGGATGTTTGATGTGTGTATGCGTTTATTCTGTGTTTGTGTTGTCATGTGTTTAGGTAGCGGCCTTGTAACGGGCTACGGGCTGATCACTCGTCCAATGAGTCCTACCTTCTGTAAAAATGATTATGGAACTAAATAAGATGCCTGGGCCTTGAATGGGATGGAAGAACCAATAAAAAAACGTGTCCGATAAATCCTATCATCAATCCAAACCCCGTCTATAGTCACTCATACACGTGACTATATGCATTAGCAAATAGTGCCACTTCATTTCGTTCTGCCGCCGGGAAAATTGCAAAAGGTAACCCAGTATGAGCTCGTCTTGTGAAGTCACGAAGGTTCCACCATATGAACACAAAAAAGTCAAGGCTAAAAATTTGAAAGCCT